ATGCATATAAAAGAGTTTGGCCTGAATTGCTGTCTGGGAGTTGAACTAAGAAGCAGCAGAGCGCTGGCTCAAATTCAGTTTATATATTTGCTTAAATTCGCTTAAAGAAGAAGACAAAGAAAGGGAAAGTTAAATTTATTAAAATAAATTCAATAGTATGTACATTGATATGCATAAAAAGGAGTTTGGCTTGGAGTTGAACTAAGAACCAGCAGAGCGCTGGCTCAAATTCAGTTTATAAATTTGTTTAAATTTGCTTAAAAAAAAGACAAAGATAGGGAAAAATAATAGATGAATGGGGCTTGGCATGAGCTGAGCTAGAAGTTAAAAAATCTATCTTCGATTTCTTTTTAAACTCAAAGTACGTATATGAAAATTGAGATGGCAAATGCGAAAAGATTAAAATGCAGCTATAAAATATACAAAATTATGTGAGCCGCCTTAATGAAAAGCGCTTACGAAAAGCATCAACATTTCACAGGGTTGGGCACAAAGGCGACAACGAGCTGCTGGATGTTCCAGGAGCAGGAGGCGGAGCTGTAGCTGGAGGAGCAGGAGGCGGAGCAGGAGGCAACCCAAACCGAATTTCATGCTTAAGCTCTGTAAAATTAACATTTAATTGAAGCCTACATTTGGGCGCCGCTGGCTTTGCGTAAAATTAACAACAAATTTGCCACGCCCACGCGCAAGGCTGCGTCAGGATGCGTCAAGTGCAAATCCCTGGATACGGTCCAGGCATATGCAGCCCCGGAAGGACGGACCGCGGTGAGTGCATGTTTTGATAGCGTAAATTATGTTATAAAATTTATTTAATTTCACTTTTCTGCATGCGCTCCATCCGCACGCTGAACGTTTTGTTGCCGGGCCCCCGCCAAAATGGGCGCCTGCCATGCAAGTCCTCGCGGGCTGTGGCAGACGCACGACCCCCTCAACTGGGCGTTCTCGTATTCCCCAGTGTATTGCAAATTGTGCAGAGTTCTCTGCTGCCACTTGCCACTTGCCCCTGGGTCCAAGTGCTGCTTGGCTTCGCGTGCCCGGCGCGCATATTTATGTCTGCCCAAGAAACATGCAAACATTTCGCCAAAAATGAAATGGAAAGCGCGACCAGGTAAGCACACAACACACACGTGTGCGAGGGTGTGTGTGTGTGTGTGTGTCACAGATATTGGCAATCCTTAACTGCATGCCTTAATCTCTGTGCCACGAGAGCCGGAGATGGCATCGTGCTCCTGTTGCTCAGCAAGAGTTTCTACTGTAAGCTTGTTGCTCTAATCAAGGACAATCTCTGGTGGCTTCTCATTTTTCGCTATTTGGCCAATTTTATAAGATTCCAAATTTTTCATTTCTTATTCGATTAATCTGTTAGATTTCTTCTCGATAATTGGACTACCTTCTCCCATTAGAAGGCTTTCTTTCTTTTGTACTCGCCTTAGACTTGTATATATTGAAATATTGCTTTCACTCTCCAGATCTTAAATGTATTCAAAGTATTCGCATTCCGTGCTTTCTACTAAAGGACAGCTCCTGGGTCCGCACTAGCTCATCGATTTTTGGAATAAACAAGCAGATTTCTCTTGTCAAAAATTGTTCTATAATTGGACTCTAATTTATTTAAAATTAACACGAAAAATACTCTCTCTTCTTCTCTTCCTTCGTACTCGCAGAGAAAGCTTGAACAAAATGCCTTTTTATATATAGAAGAATTGCTTTGTATTCTCGCCTGAGCCCCAAAAGAAAGCCCCCTTTGTATATATAGAAGAATTGCTTCCACTCTCCACGTCTTAGCTATATTCAAAGTACTCCCATGCTAGCCTCACGCGCTCATCTCTAAGCTGGGCAATCTTTCAGCTCCGTCGATGGGGAAGGGCGCAGCTTAAACGACTGGGATCCGCTTAAATAATTAAATACCAATGACACTTAAACGTAAATCATGAATTTTGCAAGGTTTTCACCGAAGGGCCACGTGCACGGCACGCTGCTGCTCGATAAGACACATTTTGGCAAATGGCAAAGACGAGGCCAGGCCTGGAGTTGGCTACAGTTTTGGGCTGCCATCCAGCTCGCCGGACCGTTAACAAAGACGGAAAATGTCAACGCCGCCGGAAACAACACCCCAAAAAATTACTGTTGCAAAATGCTGTGTACAAGTTTCCGCTCCCAGCTCGGAGCTTCCTGCAATGGCAACTGCAACAAATCCCCAGCTGCTCAGCTCTAACATTCCATGCAACATGCAACAACAACAACGACAACAATGGCAACAACAATGTGTGTGTTTGTCCAACAATTTGTTGCCGCAGACAAAGGCAAAGTCAATGTCGGCAGAGTTGTCAACGCTGTTTAAAGTTGCCTTAATTGCAGTTGTTGCTGCTTTTCTTTTTATGCCCTGAACCCAACAAAAATGGTTAAAAGGGGTATCATGTATTTTGGGCAAATGTATGTAACAGGAAGAAGGAAGTCTATATATTCTTGATCAGCAGCCGAGTCGAACTACCATTTGTCCATTCGTCTGTCCGTCCGTGTGTCTGTCCGACCAAGGATCTTAGAACCTATAAGAGCTAGAGACTTCAAATTCTCAGCATAGAGTTTATTTCCGATAATCGATAACTTTCCGACGTTAACAAGTAATCGATAAAATATCGATATACATTACCTGTTTTTAAGCAAATCCCTTAGGTTATCTAGAATAATCTATATAGGTGAAGTTTCTATCTACAATAACTTACAGGGTATACCCTAGTTGGGAACTCTCGCCCAGAGCCGCTTACCTGTTGTGTTAGTCGTGCATAAAATATGCTGCATACTTCGTGGGGCGCCCCCTTCTGGCAAAAAGGTTGCCACTGCCATTGGCGTTGCCACCGCGTCCGCACGCCGCCTTTCATGCTGTTAATTATTATTATAGACGTGCGAGCGTCCATCTGTCTGGCCTGTCGCAGCAGGCGCACACAACCAAGCGAGCGACCACATGCAATAAAACAGCACTTAGACAGCGGCACAGCGGACACACACACACGCAGACACATGGACACAGCGACAACGACATAGATGTCTAGTCCGTTTGAGCCAAATAGCCAAACGGCGCACCGGGGAATACTTTACCAAATTGCACTACCCAGTCTCACAGTCAACTCCTGCTCCAACTGAAGCTCTGGCATCCTTTGGCCAACTCATTTGACTGCACGCTTTTGTCGTCCTTTCATCTATCGAAATATTTTTGCTCATAGACGCCTTACACGTATCCGCCCGTGTGTTTCTATCCCTTTGCGCTGCTTTTAGCCATTTGAATTCTTTTTGCTTTAAAAGAAGTCAAACAAGAAAGAACGCAGATGGAATACTCTTATAGAAATTTCACTTAGAAGTTCAAATCTTAATTTTCGAGCGATTTTTCCTATATAGTAGATCGATTTAATAGGGCTTTGCCAGTCTAAGATATCTTTAGAGGCAAGAAAAGTTTTTATAGAACAATTCTTTTTTCGTCCGATTTTGCCCAAGGCAGCTTTATGATATAGATTTGGTTTCTTGATAATCTTTGTCTTATGTTCAAGAATTATAGTAAATATATAAATGCCAAGTTTAGTCAACATATCCTCATAAATCAAAGGCATATTTTATACAAAAACTTTATTTTCGATCGATTGTTCCTATGGCAGCTATATGATATAGCGGACCAATTCAGCCGATTACGACCTAGGTTCTCCCAGCTACAGAAAGACGCAACTATTTTAAGTTTCATTAAAAGAATTTCAAAAGCTGAGAGTCTAGACAGTCGGAGCTGTTGTTAATGCTGATCAAGTATATATGTATATATATTTTATAGAATCCGAGTTCTGGTTTAGCATTACAAAAATCCGAATTCCCTCTGCTACATATAATTTAAAGTCATTTTGGAACTCGCAGGAAGCAGAACTATTCCTTGGCTTTCAAAAATTCCTAGGGTTTGACTAAAAACGGTTTGTAAAATGTTACAATTCCAATATATCGAGTAATTAATGACCGATTTACAAATGGTATAGCATTTTGGAATTCCATGCCTAAATTTCACCAAATTTGTTAAATAAATCAAGGGGTTGCATAAAATATTTGGATTAAATCGAATTCTGAAATTGAATATTTTTGATTCCTATATATTCTATAGAGTCTTACGAGTCCAATATGCCTAATCTCTCCAAGATTGAACTTTTAAATTGAAATATTTTTGACTCCTTCAGATTATATAGACTCTCACGAGTTCAAAATGCTATATTTGTCCAAGATCCGACTTCACTAAAGCGAGTTGTGTAGATTTAAAGTTTTTAAAATTATTCGAATATCTCAATCTAATTGATTTATTTATTTTTCTATCCATAATTGTAATTTCCACTGCCTCTCCAATCCGTCCATTCTGCAAGGCGTCCTCCAATATCATCTGATCCACTCGAAGCTAGGTCTCGGGCGCAAATCCGACTAAGAAGTTGGCTGCCAGCTTATCATGAGGCGCACCGCTCGGCGCATAAAAGGGTGAGATTGCATTTAAAAGACATTATTGTGTTTGCTTTTGTTTTATTCGTGCGCTTCTTGCAAGGTGCGCTAATCGCCGGCTAAGCTGACCGGAACCGAGCAAGCAGCTAAGCCAAAAGTCAGCTAATTAGCTGACACTTTGTCTTGGGCCACTTAATTAGCCGCTGCTTGGATTTTAGCTGCCTGCGTTCGTCGCGTCTCAATGCAGAACACCCCGCACATACAGATTGTTGGCGGGGACAATTGCATTCCAGTTGCGTAACAGAAACGGGCGCCAATTAAAGTTGGCCCCAACTGACTCCGAATCGGCGCCAGGCAAAAGTTCATTTGGCATATTTAAACTTTTTGCGATTGTTGTGTGTGTGTGGGATTTTAATTCCATTAAAATTTGCGCGCAGCATGAAAAAAACGCATTTACAAAAACAACAATTGCACGAGAGCAGCAAGAGAGAGAAGGGGAGAAAGAGAGAGAGAGAGAGTTGTCACAATTAAAATATTTTCATTGCTAATACAATTTTACTCGTATTTTATACAGATTTTTCGTTAGCACTAATTAAATGTGTAAATTTTGCAACTTTTTTAATTGAATGCGACAAAATGTCTACAAAAATTATGCGAAACAAGTTTGCGAGAGCAAATTATTGTCAGATTCAGCTTTAACAAGCCTTTGCAAATGTTGTTGTCCAAAAAGTGAGCAACAACAATTTCTAAATGCTAAGCAAAACATGTGGTGCGCAGGCAAGTGCAACTTAGTTAGAATAGAAAATGATAATAAAAAAAAGAGAATAATATTCGAAACTGCACTTCAATAAATTGGCATGTGTAGACAGGGTAGACACAGTTAAGCAGGGTATACATTCAAAGTTCCTCCTACTATTCCTCCTTGTTCTCCAGGGCCGGCACTTCCCAGTACTGTTCATCCTGGTGCTGCTCGTCCTTTTGCAGATTCCGAAAGCTGGTATACTTTAAGACGGCGCCTGTATTCAGTTACCAATTTAATTATACGCTCCTTTATATTAAATAACTCCCTACGCACCTGTCAAAATGCCGCCTCCAATGGCTATGAGCAAGGTCAGGGCAATGCCGAACAGTTGATAGCCCGCCTGTGTGCTGGCATTGCGTCCCAGGCCCTGCAACATGGTCGGGGATTAGCTTGTGTTTATGTGTGCGAAAGTAAATAACAAATGCAGCTGCCGCCAACTTACGCCCATAATTTTGCTTGCCGTGCTGTTGCTGCCCACCATGGCTGGAAAAATGTCCTGTAGCTCCGATTGATAGTCGTCCACGGTGACCAGCGAGGCGTAGATGGCCGAGGCGATGGCCGATATCAGCGCCGGCATGCCGTGCAAATTGTGTACGCCACACGTGTCATGCAGACGCAGTTTGCTGGTCAACCAGGGCTGCAATTTACAGGGTATAACATATTAGATACATGTGATATGTCTCCCAATCTTTTGCCTTTAAAAAAGAGAGAGAAAACGCTTTGTTCCTTTTTCATTTTACATAGAAATATGTGAAAATTTGAACAAACTTAATTATTAATCCTGCTAAAGCACTTTTGGAATGCTATGCTAAGTTTTTTAACCCCGCTGCTGCAATGCATTTCAAATTTCAAAGGGGATCTAACATTACTTTTTATGCGCTGAGCCCATTGAAAGTGGTTAAAAGGGGTAGCTTGTTTTTGTGCAAGTGTATGCAACAGCAAGCCATAAATAATGAGTCGATCCAGCCAAGTTCCTGCTGACAAAGACTTGACATTAGAAATATATGTATATAATCTCCTATGACAAAAGCAAGTCAATATAACTTTCCATATTAAGGGATGGTTTTAAACACAACCCGAAAAGTATAAGAGCCGTATACACAAGCGTGTAGGTAGATTAGGGTGTCATATTTAAGCCCTGCAAGTATCTTAAGGATCGGACTAAAAACACGGAAGTTAATCAAGAACGCATATCCTGGGTCAAAGGGAATAAGAAGCACAGTATAAAAACTGGCTAACTTGCTTGCAACGGCAGCTTGGCTTGGCTTCAGGGTAGCTACTAGTCGAGCACTCCCGCTCGACCGTTTTTTTTTGTACATGTTCACTTTGGCGTCTAATTAAACGTTATTAAAGTGCAAAATGTGCAACTGGACAGCGGCCTTTGGTCATTTATAAAAGTGTGTACATTTATTTACACACACCTCCGCCGGAATGGTACAGCGCATACGGACGGACGGACAGATGAAGTGGGGAGCCGAGGCCGCCGGGCAACAAACTTTACTCATTAGCGTCACATTTTTGCTAGGCGCACTAATTAAAACGCAACAGACGACACCACGGTCCAGGTACCGAGTGCAGCAGAGCCTAATGTTGGTTGCAGCTTCCCTTCCAGCTCCAGACTCCAGCTTGGGCATTTGAATAACGCCTCGTGTTTGCATGGATTACATGCATAGGTAGTCCAGGTAGTTCGCCAGCACGGATGCAGCCCTCCTCCTTCTACCCATTAGTGTGCAGCTTTCTCTCTGTTTTCCTATTTTTTTTTCCTGTTTTTTTGGGCAGTTGTTGAACTTACGGTTAAATAGCGATAGCCGAGCACCGAAACCGTGCCGGCGATAATGCCAATTAAGACAGCGCCGTGCGCGCCGAGCAGCAAGTTGCAAACGGTGCCAACGGCAACGCCGCCGGCGAGCGTCGAGTTCTGCACGTGCACCATATCCAATTTATTCTCATGGCTGACAAGTGCGGATACAACGAAGGTGGTCACTGTAAGCAGAAGAGGGGAGACGTGAGGGGGTTACAACAACATCAACATAAAGGCGCATCAGTATTTCAAGTGTTCCAGTCTCGTTGAGGCTCCCTCCCCTTGGGGGGGGAGGCTTTCCTCTGGGCCATTGCCAAGCCTGGTGTAGTTTTCATAGTTTGGCCCACGGGCACTCATGCTGCATCTTGTTCACTTTTCGAGTAGTTTATTAGTGCGCATCCAATTCCATTTGGATTCTGCCTTAAATGCAACGCAAACATTTTCAATGACTTTTGCCAATTTTGGCGTTTTCGATAATTATGGCATGACTACTTATTGGTTTTTGGCCACTGTCGATAGATTTGCACGATCATCGATAGTTGTTTGGCAACAATAGCGTCGCACGCTCTGGTCACACTGTTCCGCTCTCACGCTAGCAAAGAGCGGCTTTGCCGCCAAATTAATTAGTAATGGCGCGATTTATAGTAATTCGGCTGTGCGTGAGTGCTATTAATCATTCAGTTTACTTATTTGTATACGATTTCAAGCTAAATAGGGATTATATCGGTCTAAAGCTTTCTTACTGGACATCATTAGAAGCCATTGTTGGCAGTGGTTGTGTAGTGCAAGCCGCAAAATATAATTTAAAGTGCGAAGCCTCGAATGTGTTTGTGTGTGTGTGTGTGTTTTTTTTTGTGTTTTTTTATGTGTTCAATTATTGGATTAAAACAAAAGTGAAATAATATCTAAATGCTGATGCCTAATGGGACAATAATAAAAGTTTACTTGGTGGTAAGTTCTAATAAGATTGTCTTATATTATAACTTATTAAAGCACATGTCTGAAGAGGTGTGTATATATACATACGCATGTTAATATATATGTATGTGGTACATACTGAAAGGTATTGATTGGGAATATGTGTATGCGTTTTTTGTGTATCCATTGAATGGATTAATAGAAATACAAATATTATCTGATTAGAAAGTGTATGTCTTATTGGTGAACGATGTTATGCGCATGTTGAGCAAGGCTGGTTCCGATAAGAATACCCAAATAGAATATTTATTTGAATTATCTTATTTGTCTAATTGGCAAACTAATAAGAATGCGGGCAATTTCATATAAGACTGTTTAAGATTCCCAGCCTTTTAAAGTGCATATTTATACATACATATATGCCTGAGTGTATGTATCTATGTATGTATGTATGTATGTAAATGCTTAAGAGCATGCATGAAGACAGAGTTGCCACATCAGCTGCCTTTTGACTAACAGCCCTGCTTATTACGTATAACTGTTATTTTATGATTGGATACAGCTATTTTTATGTAGCGACAGTTGGCAACAGAGTTGTCTCAGCTTAGAGTTGAGCGTCTTTCGTGTTTTTTTTTCGTGACACGAACTGCTTGGTTTTAGTTATTAAAATACGTTTTATATTAGAATTTTCTGCGTGTCTTCGTGTCCTTTAAATGCTTTAGGCGCCCATCTCTAGCTGAACTCCATTTTGGTAACGACAGGATTCTCTCTTAAATCATCCAAGCGAAGCAAATGGAAATCACGGGCCACAATGCCCGATGCCACAACCGCAGTTCATAAACACAAAACTAATAAAAATGTAAACAAGGCAACGGACCAGTCCCCATGCCCGTCCTCTCATCCTTTGTCCGGCTGTCGTCCAGGCAACAACAACAGCAATGGGGCACACTTCTTGTTTATTAGACTGGCAAACATAAATCTCCGCAAAAATAACACTAAATACTTAAAAATCTTCATTTTATGGCGAAACATATGTTGCAGCAATAATAATTTGCATAAATTAGTTAATACGGGACACCGCTCGGTTTCTGTGGCAACTGCAAATAAGCAAATCACAGCCGGAGCAGCAGCAACAACAACAACAACAACAACAACAACAACAACAATTGGAACCGCAACAATTTTAGCAACAGCTTTTGACATTGTCCAGGCGACACAGAATTACGAGTACTGCAAATTCTGGCTTAAAAATCAATTAAACAGTATTTTTACTGCCGGTCTCAGGCTGTGCGAGCGAGGGGGGGGGGAGGAGGAGGAGGAGGAAGCAAAGTTAAACCAGAGCGAAGTCGAGATTTGGGGCGTCAGTTGTTTCTAACTTGTTGTTAAACTCAACACCCTTTAAAAATGGACAACAATCGGGTATGTTGCTGCGGTGCCTCGGCGCCATCTACCACTCTGGAAATTATATATATTTTATATCAGACGGATCGAAGACTTTAAAAACTGGAAATAACAATTTTTTAGAGAAATATGTATGCAGCTCAAAACTGTGCACAGGGTATGCCCTAGTCGAGCACTGTAGACTGTTGTCCGGTGTATTTAACTTCTTCCGGGGTATTATGAATTTTCTACCATTAGATAAGAAAATAATATATGCTATAGCACCTCGTAGCTGTGTACAGGGTATGCCCTAGTCGAGCACTGTCGACTGTTGTAAAGCATACAGAAATTCAGGGTATTTTACTTCTTTTCGGGTATTTACAATTTTCTGAAATCAGAGAGAAATAATATATTTAACAGCAGCTCGAATCTTTTTACAGGGTAAGGCCTAGTCGAGCACTGTCGACTGTTGTTGTTGTTGTTGTTGCCAGCATATTTAACAATTTAAATTAACGCCAATGGTGTCGCTTGTGACTATAAAATGTGTTTTGTGCTTAACGTTGTTGCCCAATGCGGGCGACGGGCGACACGGACTGACCAGAACTCGGACCAGGACTTGAACTGGTAGGGTAGGAGGCGGGACAGAACAGGGCGGGGCTGGACAGGGCCCAGGCTCGTTTTGAACTTGGTGTGAAAACAACAACTGGGGCGTATTTTGCTGTTGGCGCCGCATTTGAACACCAAATGGCGTCGTCTGCTGTGCATGTCGCATCACCCGCATACACACACACACACACACACACACACACACACACACGCGCACACTCACATGGGGACACTGCTCACAGAACGCCTCTAATTTCAGCATTGAACTGAATCCCCAGCTTTAGTTTAATTAAGGCAACAACTAGCGAGCCAAGTAACCAGCCACTGAACGTTGGGATACGGCCCAAGGGCGATACGAGAATACCAGGGCCCACGTTGACTCAACTAATCGCACATCCTTCCGCATAAAATGTCCTGCCACGCTCATAGCCTGCTATGGCCAGCTTTTTTTTCAACGTTACACTGGCGCATAGCGTATCTTTAATGCTCTTTGTCTAAATCAAATTGAAGCTAATTTCAACTTTTGGCTTATTCTTGGAAAGATTTCTTTTAGTTTTTGAGCAATGGATATGCAGCATGTTGAATATAAAGTAAATAAATTACTTTTGGGTAAATAATTTTGAGTTAAAACCTGAGTTTCATGTGGAAAATAAGTTTTCGGATGTCAACAGGAGAACTGTGCATCAAATTCTAAAACAATTTAGTTGCCTAAAAAGCAAACGCATCTAAAACTGAGAAGAAATATAAGTATATCTTCTAAAAACGCTTGGCTTTTAATTACAAATCTTTCTTGGAATAAATTTCTTGATTTTTATTATTGCGCTAGCTAATTTTCAAACGGATTTTTCGGCTAAATTGAACGGAAATTCTAATGTGGAAAACAAAGCTCACAAATCGTTCGCTTGGGAAAGGTTTTAAAAGTGCCTCAACTTGTCGACAGCTTTTCTAAGCCTTTAAAGAGTATTACAAGTGCGTTCTGTCTGTTTGTAGGTTTTTCTTTAACTTGTGCTCATATGGTCTGTTGCGCTGTTTAGGTGTTGCCTCCGTGTTGCTGTAACGTGAGGGCTTTAATATCCATGGCAAGGCTCTGGCCACAGACGCCCCAGTGTCGCCGCCAGAGAGAGAGAGAGAGGCTACTCGACCAGAGTCCCAGCTCGGCTTATCTCAGCTGCTGTTGCTCCATTTGATTTGTTGTTGTTGTTGTTGTTGTTGTTGTTGTTGTAGTCATTGCCGGGCGCCCTTTGTATACATTTAATTTGTGTTTTGTTATTTACATTAACCAAGGCAACGGCCAGAGCAGAGACTGCCCCGCCCCCAAGCCCAAGTCTGGACTCTGGCTCACGGCTTGTTTTTGCTTTTAGCACATTTTCTATATGTTGTGTAGGACATGGCCATGGTCAAACATAGTTGACCCGCACACACACACACACATACACCCACCCACAGGGATAAACACAGGCTGACCAGCGGCTGTTGCTCCTGTTCCTACTTCTGCTCCTGCTGTACGGTTTTTATGTGCGCTACGTGCTCAAAATAAATTTTCAAATGTGTTAACGAAACTATTTGACATTTAATTAGTTTGTGAGTTGCATGCATAAAGATTTGAAGAGCCCGCTAACCCCTGAACGTAGCTCGGGACCTTTTCAATTTTAGCGGCTGACGCCTTAGTTAATAGCTGCGCCAACATTATAATTAACGCAACCGGGCCACGAATATATATATATATATATAAATACAAGATAGTAGGCCGCCACTTGAGCCAGCTAATTGCTGACTCGGAATCGCTGTGGCACGTGACTCACCTGTTGCCGCGGCTAATGCGAGGAACGTGTTCAAAATGGCGCGCTCGCCGCCAGATCCGGCGGCCAGCACCGAGTTGAAGCTGGGCCAGTATACCCAGAGAAAGGTGGTGCCGATCATAGCGAATATATCGGATGCATAGTTCGCACCCTCGTGTTTGCCCGCCTCGTTCTGGTCACTCGCCGGGCGCAGCATCAGGGCCACGGCCAGGCCAAAGTAGGCGCCAAAAGCGTGCACCGTGATGGAGCCTCCACAGTCGCAGATCTGTCAAGAAGTTACAAGTGATTAGAGGGCAGATAAGGGCTCTATTTATGCTCAATATATACTCTTGCAGAGTGTCTTATAGTTTTGTAACAACATATGTTACCCTTGGAAGAAGAGCCAAACGAGAGTCCCTTTATTAGAGATCATTTCATATTTAAAGGATATTGTAGGCGCCACTCTCTGACTTGGAGTTTAGTGTAGCATAAATAGGGAATCTCCAAAATTTGACTACGATCTAGGGCAGTATCAATAGTGGAGTTGAAAAAGCTACGCCTGACAAAAGATCTACCTTATCAGATATCAGTATCATATCATACTTGCATAGGAACAATCGGATACAAATTTGCTGCTTATACGAACAGCTTTTGAGTTATTCAAGATAACTTTAGTTTTAGTTTAATACATTGCTGTTTATTCATTTTGTAGCTTTATGTCTTATTCAACAATAAAACGTCTCTTCACTTCAGAAACTCTAACCCGATCTCCTATTGTCGTATGCTCCTGAACCCCCGAACATTCCATGAACCCCCGAACCTCACGCTGATAAAACTTGCTAAACTACTGTAACAGCATAACAGCTCTAGTCGATATCCCTATCTGGCATATATATAATCCTAATCTCATTAAAATCCCAATAGCAATTGTTCAGATTGCAACTGCAAGGGTATTTGATATTCGGCAAACCGAAGTCGACTGTTTTCTCCACTCTTGTTTCACTTACGCTGAGCACATTTAGGGCCAGGTATTCATTGGCCGCGAACAGGGCCACCTCGAAGATGGACATGCATACCAGCTGAATGGGCGTGGTCCGGCCCAGAAGTGCGCCCATGCTGATTAGCGGCACGGCGGCGGCAATGTCCGCATCGATGATGCTCTCCAGCGAAAGGCTGCAAGAAATGAAAGAAGAGCCTCAATACGGCAAATGGAATGTAAAGCAAATAGCTTAAAGTTTTTTATATTTTATTTTTATTTACAAGACCTTTGCCCCCTGGCCGTGTTTGCTGTGGCACTTTGTTGGAGTACGTCTCCCTGCCTGGCCCGACTCAAGTTAAAGTAATTGCATGAATTCATTACATCTTGAGGATATTTTTCTTAATTTCTTTAACTTATTTGCTTGGCGTGCGCTTGGCAGGGGAACGACACACACACACACACACACACACAGATGCAATTAATTAATGGGCAATTATTTAGATTGGCAGACAACATTTAAAGTTGTTGCTGCTGCAGAAAACTCACCTGATCTTGCCGCCTTCCATGTGCAGGAAACCCTTCATCAGGACGGACCACTGCACCACCAAAGCGGACATGAACAGTGTATAGCCCGTGGCACTGTATCCGTATTTGCGCAAAAAGGTCATCAGAAAGCCAAAGCCAATGAATATCATGACCTGAACATCCTGAAATTCTGTAACAAAGCAAGGGTCGTTTAGTGAGACGGCGCCTTGGCACGCTTATTAATGGAGTCAAGTCGTTTCAATTAGTTGCCCAATTGTCTGCTGCCAAAAGTCAATTGCATTGAGATTGATGTCACCAGCCAGAGCACGGAGCACAAGTCCCCGGACATGGGGCACGGGCACGGGCACGGGCACGGGCACGGACTCTGGCAAACGGTAGCCGATCATGTGCATGTGTGTGCGGGTGCAATTAGTGTGAAATACGTTTTAATTTATTTATTATGAATTGCAACAAGTTGTTTACAGACGCATTTGCATAAATTGAAATTAATGACTTTAATTATTCATTTGTGTGTGTGGCTCGTTCAGTTTCTGGCTGGCAAAAGTAATTAATGCAATTGCTGCCGCGGGACTTTAAGGAGACTATGCGAAAAATAACTTTATTTATTTATGAAATGCCAGCACTTGCCAAATACCACTCATAGCCCGGACTCGACATTGGCATGGGTAATAGCATCTGACAGACCCAAATCTATTTTAATATGTAGCATTAACTGAAGCTTCTTTTAGTTGTAATTAATTTTTAAATATCGTATTAAGCAGTCATTGCAAATTGTTTTTTATGCTATGCATTTTTCGCCCATGGACTAGCAGGTGATTTTGACAAAGTACGAAATGAAGGAATGTCAGAACACAAGTCGAAAGTCATGTCGGATTTTCAGAGTTGACAAGCTTAAAATGATGAAGGATGCTACGTGTAGGCCTTGGCTTGAGAGAGGAGAAATTGCAGAGCACATGCTGGGAATTTGTCTAGCTTTAAGTGCAAAAAGACTTTCTCAACTTGGGGCAAAGATCTTGAACCTAACACTCTCTCTCATGTGATCTTTGAATTCGGCGATGCACTTTTCTTTATAATGGGACTGGACAAGGGGCTACATGGATAATTTTTCAGTGAAAGGCAAAATGTATCTATATAAAAGTCAAAGTGTGTAGGAAAAAATCAACATAGCAGTTGTATGTGCTTTACCGAAGTCAACGGCCCAATTTCTGAACATTGGACTATGAATTGAAAGGTTGCTGGTTCAAATTGTAAAGAAATTGTAGAAAGAAGCCCAGCTTTGCCCCATTTCACAGCTAATTTGTTCAGTGATGTTTTTAGAGCCTACAACTAAGAAGGAAGGGGTTGTTAAGGAAAATATTACATATATTTATTTAAATATTTAGCAAAAAGTGAACTAACATTTGTATAAAAACTATATTTTTAAGGAAGGCAAATAGGCATTCACGTGGTATCAATTTGAGCTTTGATATATATATATATATATATATATATCTAAAGAAGGCGCGAATTAGACAAATAATTTTCAGACAACTGTCATTTTTAACATTATTCATTTCAACTCGCGCAACGCTGGGTAATTTCTTGCAGTTAATACCAATTATATATCATGTGCGGATTTTCACTCTGTGGCTTGCTGATAGCCAGCTTCTACCCTCGATTGCTCATAAATTCTTGGCGTTACATATTTCTATTAATAGTTATCTAGTTTAGTTGGTTGTCTCTACGAAATTGTCCATAAAAGCTTATCAGCCATAGATGTCACGCAATCGCTTCAAGACAAGTGGCGTTGATATTGTTGGCCCCGTTGACTGACTGACAGCTCCCCCGGACCGGACCGAAAGTAAAGTCCGGATAAAATGCCAATCTTGCTGACAAGTCAACATTAAGTCACCAGGCTCAGTCATTAGCGGTCACTCGATGGTTTGTCCCCTATTTTTGAGTCGGCTGCTTGTCAATTAAATGATTATATTTAATGACATTCTGAATAAACGAACTATATCAACTGGAAATAGCATAAAGGGCATGTAGAGGCACTTGGAGCATATATATTCCTGATCAAGTTCAAATAAAGTTTCTTTCTCTAAAGTAGACTCTTGGCTAGACTCTATACAAACATTTGAATGTCATCTTTAGTACTGCAATCGAACTTCAGGCAAAGGTTTGCCTTAAGCTCAGACAATGGAGTGCTGGCGTAGAGCACTCTCACCTGTGTTTTACCGCGCTTAGTCACATTATGCAGAAACTTTAACGTGTTGCGTCTGAATGCGTCTAAGCAATAAGGTGGCGAGAATAACAGGAGACACAATAGAAACAATGGAAAATGATGATAGCTACTCACGCGGATATTTTGAAACGTGTTCGTTTGCTGATCCAGCGTCTTCAGCGACGAGTTGCGACGGCATGGCGGACTTTTCGTAACGCACGAAAAGCCAGAATAGCACCAGGAAAACTATTTGCACAATCATCAGGACAACGTAGCCCGACACCTTACCAGCCGGCGTATGCATGTTGGAGTTTGTTAAACGAGAAACACAACAAAATCACAAAAAAACCGTCAGCGGATGCCGCTGGAGTCGTTGTCGATTGAAGTTGTTTCTGGCTGGCGCGCTGGTTCAAATCCGCGTCGTTGCCGTTGCAGCACGCGTGTGGATACGCTGGGGAATTAGAAACGCAGACAGGAAGTCTCTCCCTGTCTTTCTCTCTCTCTCTCTCTGCCCGTCGCTGTTCCTCTCTGTTTCTCTAATATGCACAAATATTTGTGCGCTGTTTAGTTTTCGCACAAACACAGACACGGACACACGCGTGGAACAGGAGGAGGCAACACGTTCTCACATGGACGATCTGCTGCCGCTGAGCGCAAAGCGTGTACTGATGCCCAGCGCTTGGTGCGCGGCTCGTAAGTAGCTGTCCGGTTGCTTGTGCGCTCAACGGGGCGTATGTGCGATATATCCACGGCGATTTATTCGCATGATATAACTATTTGATTTAATTTGCCGTCGCTTCAGCTACGGTTGCCATCGCTTCTGCATTCGCTGCTAAATTATTTAGCGCTAAACCCGCCCCTGCCCACACAATTTACATTGTGCGCTTCTCGTAGTTTCCAATTTATTTAAATTGTTTTGTTTTAGTTGCATTCTAATTTCAATTTGAAATCGTTGCGTGGTCCCCTCAAATGAAAAAGTGGTCAAGTCTTTGCATTGTTGGCGCACTGTGAGCAAAAAAATAGAGCATTTTCTGCACACATTCAGTTGGAACTCTATCAAAAGTAAGTTTTTGAAATATGAATTCCAAGTCCATACTCATAGAGTATTTTGAGAGTATCTAAAGAAGAATACACGCCCATCTACTGAATTAATATTTGCGACTGCTTTTATCTTATCTGTAGATCCTCCTAGTCTTTTATGGCAAACAATTTTGTCTTATCTTCGAGTTTATGCTGTATTTTGGTCTTCTGCAAAGCACGCTATCTTTCCTATTATTACCCATGAAGTGAGGCATTTTATGGTACTTAAAAACAAATTAGTTTTGGTTAATTTAAGTATATTTATACCATAAGAAGGGTATACTACTTTTGGGCCAATTTATGTAACACGTAAACTGAAGCATCCCGAACCCATGCTTTATCAGGAGGCGGGTTGATCTGACCAAGTTTTACTGTCTGTTCGTCTATGTAAACAAAGCATTCTTGTTTTATTTTGCATTCCAACCAAGCTTTTTCTCTCTGTGTATTAATTCGTCATGCATGCGTGCAACTTGCAACTGCTTAAAGTTTGATATTGTCCCGAGGAAAATGTTGCTGCCTTTTTGCCGGAATGGTAAAGCGACATCGAGACTCAGCTAAGCACTTGCTATGGCTAGATCTAATCGTATTGTTGTCTTTGGCTGCTCACCACAAGGCAATTAGCAGGCTGTCAGCAACAATTGCCCATAAAGTGCTTCAAGTGGAGCAGCTGATCGGTCATTGATGATGATGCGGCACAGTCGGCGTGCCCCTTGCCAAGCCGCCCAGCCCAGCCCAGCCCAGACCAGCCCGGCCGTGCCCCATCCCCGAAACAACAATTGCCAGTCATTAACAGTTTTTAGTAGTTTAGTGCGAAATTAATGGGCACAATACGGCTCGACCGAGTCGCACATCTATGCGAAAGAGACGCGAACTGAAATTGGGTTTCGGGCATAAATATAAAACGTAATGTGTGAATGGGCTACAGTTGTGCTTACGAAAAGATATCGCATAATAAATATTTTATGAAGCTTATAAATGAGATAAGCTAACATAAAGTTTGTATAGCTTAACAAAAAAAATACTATATATTGGAACAGGAAAAATTCTCTTGTATTTATTGAACATTTAATATATATTTATTTTTATTATTATTGGCATCCCTCAACTAAGACAATAATACATCCAATATTACATTGGACTTAAGGGAAAACATGAAAATCTATTTAATTGGCCCTTTTATTCACATCGAGCGGTTTTAATAGTCCATTTCACTTATAGTCATCTATCTATAGCGAAGTGTGTTATCAGAATTTAATTCTCTCACCAAAAAGCTCTCTCGAATTTTCTCAAGCCCTGTCCAAGTGCTCACTTTCTACCCAATAAAAAAATTCTTTTGTATAGAATGTTTAATTAAATTTTTTATTATTATTCTATGGCATCTATGGCCTTCGGCTAAGACAATAATACATATACTCTAGCTTGGGTTTTCGAACCGGAGCATTTTTTGTTAATTTCTTATATTTGTTTTTTATTATTTCTACCTATATCAGCTCTGCGAACTGCTTTCTCGTATATTAATAGCATTTATATAATGGACTAACGAAAAAGATCAACAAAATTTAACTAATTACCAAAGAAAATAGTATAGAAATTAAAAAGTGCGCGCTAAAACAAAAATAAACTCAAATAAAATAAGTTGTCGCAAGCCAAAAAGGGGGAAGGCAGCTGCTGCTTTGGTGTGGGGCTGCTGGGGCGTATGATTGATATTTATTTTTTCAACAAACACAAGCACCTGTGCTAAAAATTGAAATTCTCATGGCAGGGCAACAATAATAAATAAAAAAAAAAAAAACAACTAGCAAAGCAAAGCAAATCGAGAAACCGACATAAGAAAATGTGTGAAGTTGGCGCAAAAACCGCAAATGTTGCCAGGCACGCGCTGGTAAACGCTTTCAGATCTGTGAAACCGAGCAAAAAAAAAAACGGAAAAGAAAAAGGAAAAGCAAAGCAACAGCAGGGTAGTTGGTAGCTGAAGGGGTGGCGGGCCAGAAGTGGAACTTGGTGTACTATATCAGAGCCATTTGGTTCTACGTTTTGTGTGTGTGTGTGTGTGTGTGTGTGTGTGTGTATTGCTCCGGCTGCCTACGCTACATACTTGGGAAAATTTGCATCCGCAATCACTTTAAATGTTTCCGTTTGAATACGCAAATAAATCGAAAAGGATTTCCAATGAATGCTTATGAGTGTGCGCCGTGTACCCCTCCTCCGCAACTCTTGCACCTGCCCCTCGCGTCTCGCTGAAGGCTGAAGCAAACCCTTGTTAATGTTGTTGTTTACAACAAGTGTACATGGCTAAATCCGGGCCAAAGCACACCAACAGCAAACAACAACAACAACGGCAACAAAAATTGATAACATTGTAAAACGGCTGCCAAACTGTCAGCTGCTGCTCTGCTCCAAGATGCAGCCCCCCATCTTCGCACGGCTTGCGGTCAGTATGGGGCTAACAAGAATATATGTATATGCTTGTGGGTTTATGCTGAGCCATAAATAAATATGAGCGAGTCTTCTCTGACATTGCAACGGTGGCCGGTAGCAATGTTGACGATATGTTTATAAACTTTAACACTGCCAGCACACACAGCCTGGCAGAGACAAACAAAGGGTATTCCGAGTCTTACTTTAAGCGCCATGCATACCATACCATTTTAACTTAATTTTTTACCCTAGCTGAAGCTCATGTAATGTTAAATTGTGAGGTATAGAAGAAGGGAGCTAAAGACTTTGCAGAGCTTGAGCTGTCTCGTTGAGACATTGACACATTCTTCGCCAAATTATCAGATGTTCGCTCTATCCGAGTTCTCTTACCAAAGAACCAAATCGAGCTGAGGATTCTTTGCTAATCTTTTGGGTTCCAAAGAGAGTGGAATGTGGGCCAATAATGGTCTCACTGAGTGTATTCAAAATAATATTTTCGCTCTGTCCGAATTCCAAATCGATCCCAATCGAGCTTAAAACTTCTTTATCGACCTTTTGAGTTCTGAAGAGAACGTTATATAGTCTACAATGCATCAATAAAGGTCTTGTTTAGTCGAGGGTAAACTATCCTCGTTTTCCGCGTTAACCCAACCTAGGCTAAGCTCAGTTTGAAAAGTCTATTTTGATGAAACTTTCAATAGGTTGTCACATCATTCTGTGAAACAAAGTTTTTATCGGAAACTTTTGATTTTTTTTTTCTTTCAAGATATCGGTAGATGTCTAACAATGCATTTACATATATAAAAGAGTCTGTTATGACTGACTGCTCAATCAATGCACAAACGGTAAGGACTAGGAACTTGTTTTTTGATCAAAAGTGACTGAGATGAAGTTTTAGGAAACTCGACCTCGGGGTAAAAGGAAACTGAAAACTGCATTTAAACAAAAAACAAACATGAATATGTCCATAAAAGCTGACTTGCTGAGTTAAGTGTATGAGCGCCTCGGAAAATCGCCATTTCAATTCCTATAGCCGAATTTTGATGCTTAGTGATAACGTTAGAGAAAAAATCGTATATAGTAAAGAGAAAAGCACTTGTCCGCGAAAGCGACTGTAAAAACAAGTTTGGCTATTTTCTTTAAACGCGCTGCAGCTTCTACCAAAACAGCAGCAGCATTCGTTTATTATAGGAGCAACAAGAAGAAGAGTATCAGAGCCAACATCGTCAGCGTCGTCGTCGTGCGGGGGGACCAAGTCTTTTGTGTGGCTTTGTTATGCCGACCCAAAGTATCCTTCAGGCTCTCGCTGCCTGGCTGGCTTTGCTGGCATTTGTATCGCCGGCTTTGCCCTCTTTGGGGGGCTTTTTTGGGAACTTGGCTCCGTTACACAAATTTCGACTGGCCCCGAGTCTCTGCCCCAGTGCCTGCATGTGTGTGGTCTAGCCTGCTATTGTGGCTGCTGCTGCTGCTGCTTCTGCTTCTGCGGGTGGCTGCGCCTAAACGATTTGCTTTTTGTCTGTTTTGTGTCAATTTGAAATCCGCTTTGGTTATGCGGCTGCAGCGGCAGCTCTACCAGCCATGCCCTGCTGGCCCCCCTTTACCCTTGGATGTCGCCACGATGTCGTGTTGCCATAGCAAAAGCTTTGCGCTGCGGCAATTGTTGGCATTCACAGCTACTTGGCTGCCATGGCAGCGCGTACTCTTCTCCAGCTTTAGCTTCAGCTTCAGCTTCAGCTGTAGCTCAAGTGCCGCTCGGGGATTTATCAATTGCGTTTATAGCAAATTTCGATTTGTCAGCGCAAAGCGGGCAACTTGCGTTCGTTTTGCAGCCAAGTGCCGTTGAGTGCCCACCGCAAGTGGCATCAGTATCGGGAGCTGTTCCTCCCACGGATCAATGTTGCTCAGCCAAAATGTCCCAGATGCAGAAAAGATGCTTAAAAAAGAGTTGACTGAGGCTAGCGAGAAGTTCACCGTTGTTTGATTTTGATGTTATGCACAAAGAGAAGGCAATAATAATAATGATTAGGCGAATGGAGGCTTAAGGGAAGATAGTTTAAAGAATATCTCCAACTACGACAGAGGAGACAAAAGGTCAACCAGGCTTGGCTTTGTTGTAATACAAATGCATGCTATTTTGGATCCAAAAAAAAAAGACGTATGGTCTATTTTTGAGCAGCTTTCTAGTTGTCTGTAGCTGCCGTGTCCGAGCGATGCCGAGTAATTTCTTTCAGTTGAAAATGTAAAGACTAGCATATAGAATTGCCTCAATATATATGGTAAATCGTTGGTCCTGACTGATGTTAGATTGACAGACAGATTAATACAAATTATAAGCAATTTTTCAAAGATTTATAGAAAATATTATTGAATAATTTATTTACTGATTATGGGTAAAAACTCAGAGAAAACCTGGCTAAACTTCTTATTCCTTGTTAAAATAAATGCATTCGCAACCATGAGCTCACCTGGCTTGAAAAAACATTCAGCTAAAAGCTAGCTGATGTGTCATCTCTGATTTGTGGCTATCATTTACAGTGGCGCTCAAAAGTCTGCCATGAATTGCGCAAACTTGACGGTAATTTTTCCAGCAGCCGCAACTTATGCCACGGCTGAGGCCAGAGCAAGTCGAGCGAAGACCAGTTTCAGTTGACAACAAAAAGCACCTCAATTAATAGTTAAGACAACTTTCAATCGGTCGCTTAGAGACGATACACATGCATATATGCGTGTATATATAAATATATATAGATTAGAAGACAAACTGGATCACAAATAGCATCAATAAAAATATCAAAAGCCAAGCTAACTGAAGAAGCCCCCAAACAAACAAAGCGCCAATCGGGCGATTAGATTAGATGGCCACGCGATTTACATTTTATTTGTAACAAAATTTGTATTCGATTTATTAATAAAACAAGGGTATAATAAAAAAAACCCAAAGAATTTACGGAACGTGTTACGTAGACTTATATATATATATATATATATATATCTACTTTGGTATTGTTTGGTTTAGTCAATGACAAGAGCTATAGCTCCGTCTTCCGGCTTCTAGGCAATGCTTGTGGCATGCGTTGGCGCCACCTGTACAGGTTGCACGGGCTGCACAGTGTGTGTTGTGTCGGGCTGTACGGTGTGTGCCGGCTGCACGTCCGCCGATGAATCATGCGTCGGGGCGGGCGTATAGGTGCTCGCCTGCTCCGGCTCCTTGTCCAATATGATCTTGTACATGGCAAAGTAGAGAGCAGCGCCCAGCAGCAGCTCAGCTACAGCGACGCAGGCAACCACGGCCCAGCCGGGTATGGCAAGTCCAGCTGTAAAACGAACAGATTGCGATTGTTTTAGTATATCATATTATTCCAAGTGTTCCCTAGTATATGTAAGAACATCCAATAAAATGTTGCTACTTTCATGCGTATTTCTTAGCAGGCGACGAAGCATTGGAAGCATTTAGTGGCAACTAAAGTGACTTTGCATAGTTGCATAGTCTACATAGTTCTTACTAGTTCTTAAAACTTGTTCTTCATATAACAAAAGAGAAATTAAGTATAGATTCTGGTACATATTTTGGTTAACTTACAAAAGTATCTGCGTGTGAGAGTGCGTCGTCCGCGATTCACGCGTCGCGTGGCCTCCGTTTCCTGCATAAAGCATGCCAGTAGAACTGTAAGCAAATCGAAAATAACAAATCATATTTAACACCTTGCCGAATACGCAAAAAAAGACAGAAAAACACATAAATATTTGATGAACTGTGCGCTGTGTGTGTGGTCCATCAAACGGAGCGAGTCGCTAGAACGGAACTCATTGAACGCGACGGTTAAGCATTCATCAAACGAATGGGAACTGGCGTGCTTGTTATTTACTCGCCGACTTGTTTAAATATTAATAATTAATTATTGAGAAAATATTTAACAGCAAAGCGAAAACCAAAAAATATGATTAGCGAACACATAAAAAAATAGATATATGCGGGCGCGCGCGCTGTTAGTTCGATGATAAATCAGTTTAAGCTAAGCACGCGAGCGGGTTGCTGATTGAGGGGGGGTTCCCTATTTTGGCATATAATCTGCTATTGTTTCATTGCGGATGTCAGTTTCGATTATTATTTTTGTTTTGTTCGACTTTTTGTTGAGATTCTCCATATGATTTTGGTGGACATTCAGCTTTGTGCGCCTTTTGAAATTTAATTTGAAACAAATAAAATGTTTGATCCAAAAGGAATACCAGATACCGCGACCAATATACGATGGCCAACCGGTTAACCAAAAATAATTGTTTTGCCAGCGTATTTTATAATTTATACGGTGTAATAATTATTGAGCTTAGGCCACATCCAGCATTAGCAACGGTGCATTACATTAAGCTTTAAGCAAATAAAATATTTGTCAAATAAATTGATAAATGTTCAGCGCAAACTGTAATCAATTTTAGTCTGTTATAAATTTACAATGAAGATGTTATTGTGCCGAATTTAACCTGTGCCCATTACTCATGGCAAACAAACACGATTGGGTCAACGATGAGTAAACCAACTTTATCAGCTTTCGGCTATATCGCAAGGCAACTGATAAGCGCACATTTTTGTAGAGTCTACTCTATATGTGAGACATACACTCACTCCACAGTTTTGTTACTCATGAAAAGATATGCAGCCCTGTTGGGGCTTAGTCATTAGCACTTTACACAATTTGTGTGCACTTTGTTGCAACTCACAAACTTATTAAAATTTCCTGATTCAGCGCTGTTTCCACACTCTCGAAGTTTTCTTCTTAAAACTTTAAGCACATTTTCTTCTTGGATATTCTTAAATTTGTTATAAATTATCCTTCAGTTCAGTGCTAACTTATTGTAAGAGTTGACATGCTTGGAATAAGCATAGAAAGTTCTCTATTAAAGCACAAAATTATTTCGATAAACTCTTAAGAAAAATGCAAATTATTCTTTGTATATTTTGACTGGACTTAGGTGATGTTTTTACTTGATTTAAGCACACAATTTCTATCAAATTCACTGGCAAAACTTTACCCAAACATATCACCAGGTAGGTGGAGCACTTCTTGGGCCACATCATTTTCGTCGTCGTCGTTGAGTTTTGTACCGTGTTCGTCGCTAATTGTAAAATGAAACTGAAATATGCTGAATGATTTTGCCGAGCTACAGGTGCGTGTATCTTATCTACAGACCTCTGACGGTATTAAATTGCCAGTGTCAGATAAGATAAGATAAGCTGGGTCGCACAATCTTCTGAGTTTGCGCAATGCAACCGGAGAGCAGAGATAAAAGGCAGAAATGTTTTTGTTTTTCTTTTACATGTTTTATTGTTGTCTCATTTTTTGTACTCGGACTATTCATAGCTCGTTCTCATTGACTAATACGCTTGCGTTAACTTCAAATGAGATTGCCATAGCCTTGTTTCTGGCAAACTCGATTCCTGGGGGCGGGGGCTTTAGTGGCGACGGAGCTTCAGGCGACGCACAGTCTTGTAGCGGTAGCCATCATCGGCCAAGATGGTGGGCTCTGCGGGCACATCGATCACGGCCTGCTCAACTGGGGGCAGGTATTCGTTGGCCAGTTCGCTGACGTCACGACGACGACGAATCACACGGCGGACGGTCTTGTAACGGTAGCCATCATCGGCGAGAGCAGCGGATTCCTGGACGGGAGCCTCGATAGCGATATCCTGGGAAGCCTCAGCAACTGGGGGCAGGTATTCAGAGGACAGCTCACGACGACGACGGATCACGCGGCGGACGGTCTTGTAACGGTAGCCATCATCAGCCAGAACAGCGGATTCCTGGACGGGAGCCTCGATGGCGATATCCTGGGAAGCCTCAGCAACTGGGGGCAGGTATTCGTTGGCCAGTTCGTTGACGTCACGACGACGACGGACCACACGGCGGACAGTCTTGTAACGGTAGCCATCATCAGCGAGGACAGCGCCTTCCTGAGCGGGAGCCTCAAAAGCAATATCCTGGGAAGCCTCGGCAACAGGGGGCAGGTACTCGGGGGACAGCTCGCTGACATCACGACGACGACGGACGACACGGCGGACGGTCTTGTAGCGGTAGCCATCATCAGCCAGAACAGCAGCCTCCTGGACGGGAGCCTCGATGGCGATATCCTGGGTAGCCTCAGCAACTGGGGGCAGGTATTCGGAGGACAGCTCACGACGACGACGGATCACACGGCGGACGGTCTTGTAACGGTAGCCATCATCGGCGAGAACGGCGGCCTCCTGAACTGGAGCCTCGATAGCGATATCCTGGGAAGCCTCAGCAACAGGGGGCAGGTACTCGGAGGAAAGCTCACGACGACGACGGATCACACGACGGACGGTCTTGTAACGGTAGCCATCATCAGCAAGGGGTGTCTTAACAGCGATTTCCTGGGTAGCCTCGGCGACTGGGGGCAGGTATTCGTTGGCCAGCTCGCTGACATCGCGACGGTGGCGCAACTTAAGGCGGCGCACGGTCTTGTAGCGGTAGCCATCGTCACTGAGCAGACCCTGGTCGACTGGGGCATCAATCGATTCGGCGGCGACTTCGAGGTTATTGTCAACTGGCGGCAGGTACTCCGTGGAGATGGATGTGGCCGCAGCAGCTGCGATCACAGCGAAGGCAATAACAAAGAATTTCTGTAAGAGAACGCCACGAGGCAAAGGCAGAATGGATGAGTTGAGTTAGTCCTGTATGATCCAGGCCAGGTCAGACTAACCATTATACGTAGATGCTCCCAGACGATGCGTGTCTATGAGATTAATCCAAATTTGATTCTGTTTTCAAACCAGACCTTACGACACTATTTATACGCAGCATTTTGCGAAAAGTTCTCGCCGGACAGCGGCATCGGACAGCGCCATTCACTTTAGAGACGATCCAAAAAATGAAACCGGTTACTGATCCATGCGGCAACTACCGCATCATATGTAGAGTTGGCTGCCGATGCCGATGTTGATCTCGATCGACTGCTTGGGCACCGCCACTTCAACTCCATTGATGGCCGGCATTAGCCGCGCTTAGTGGTTTGTCTTGTCTAGTTGCTATTGTCAAAAATCTATCTCAAGACGCGCACACATATCAATTGTACTCTCGGAGACACAAGATACTAATAATGCAAATACATATACATATCTAGAGCTATAGACAAAACGAAAGTCAACAATGGATCGCGAGACTTAAAAACTTCTACCAACAACATCAAGTTAAACGTGGCGGCCACGATTTTTGATTTTTCGATTGTCTCAAAACGTTGTTCGGCAGAATCAACAATGGTCGAGGGCTCTTTGCATTCTTCTCCGTGAGCTTTGATAGTCTCGATTATTTGTATCAAATTATGGTTCGACTGTATTGCATATGAATAGCTGGGGTCAGTCCAATGATCCAACGCTCAATGCCTACTCGCCTGGTAATTGCAAGCGGAAGTTGTTGTTATTATTATGGTCGCTTCTTCAGTTTTATCGTCTGATGGACAGCTGTGTATTTTTTTTCTTTTTCTTCATTTTTGGCGACTCTTGATCAACGCTTAAGGCCAAGCTGTGTGTGCCATGATGGACACAAGCTCTTGACTGTTGCTATTTTCGGCGTCTATTAATAGCCAGATGATATAATAGATCTTCAAATCGCAATCTTTGGCATATTTCAATTTTTTGGTGTTTTAAAATATGCTTTTCGTTGGCCCGTGGCAATTTTAATTTAAATCTTGTGTGCTGCTCCAATTGTACACAAAACACGCAATAAATCTTTCAAATGTTTTGCATGCTAAAACGGATTATCATCATCATCAACATCAGCAACAACAATAACATTATTATCACTGTCTCAACATCGAAGCCATTCAAGTAGGCGGCTTAGAATGTCGAGATGCGAGTCGCGTTGTGTGGGCTCCATTAGCTCAGAATGTGCTGAAGCATTGTCGATCTTGTTTAATGGGATATTTCTGGTGTCGAGACCTTGACGCATCTATTTTTGCCCAATCTAAACTATATATTTTCGATATGTAGTGCATATGGAAGTGATTGTATCCACATTTGCAACCAGTTTGAAAAACGTAAAAAATACATGCTCCTGTTTTTATTTGTCATTTATTCATTTGTAAATGGCGCGCACATAAAAAATATATTTATTTTCAACCATTGCTATACAATATTCTGCATATTTAATTTATATCTGGCAATCAACATCATCATCAAAATGCCACTGCCCGCCGTACGCCGCCCACTGCACGGTGCGCGGTGCAACGCGAAAAAAAATAGATAGAATCGCATTTCCTGGCAGCGCTCCATCGAGCACAACAAAATAATATATATATATATATATATACAACACAAGAATCAAAGTATGTCTGGATATGTATGGTGCCCAAAAAGGTCTGCTGTTCCTTTGTGCCAGTAAAACATGCTTTTTATAACGAATAGGCAGTCGCCCCTGTCCAAGCTCAGTTTCAGTTTCAGTTCCAGTTCCCATTCCCCTTACTGGTGCCCCCTCACCTATATATATATATCGTATAAAAGTCGTCGCGTGGTGTGGCACATCCGTGTCCGACTCCGGCCTGAGAACGCCCGCGGGTCAATTTTCAATCATCCAGCTGGCACAGGCAAGCGGTGCCGCGATTAATCCAATGCATGGCCGTCTGGGAGCATCTCAGCTGCAGATACATCACAAAGTTCGTCGAATGGCCGGTGGTGGAGAGAATACCGCGACGTTCGCTCGTCTTGTACACGGGACAGTCGTAAATTGGAAGGGTCTCGGTGCCGCCTTCCTCTCGCTGCACCTGGGCACCACCGCTGCTGCGTGGGATCTCATCCGGCAATCTTAAAACCGGACGCAGATAGATTACCGGCAGGGTATCAAACAAAATTTTGGAGAAGGATTCATCCACTTCTCGCGTCTTGCGATTCCAACGCGCTCCCTCTATGAAAATGCCCTGGGTCAAGCAATAAAAATGAGATATTAAAGACATGTTGTGAAGTCAAAAAGAATGAAAAAAGGATTGTGCGTCTTTGATATAGATCAGAGAAAAACTAAAGCTGTATTTAAACCAAGAATGTATTTATAGATGAAAAGTAAAGAATATTGCTTAAGAAATCATATCCATTATGCTATCGAACGGAAGATGTAAAAAACCTAACAAAGATACATAATTTAATTTGAGACAAAATGAGATTTAAAACACATTTTTACAGATGAAAAGTGAAGCCAAAAAGCTTGCAAGCTAAATAACAGAGAATTTGATTTGTTTCAATAGATCAGAGAAAAAATCAAGAAGATACTCGTTGATGAAAAGTAAAGAGTATTGATCAATGAATTATATTCCATTTATGCTAAAGAAAAGTATCAAACGAAATATGTGAAAAAAAAAACAAACAAAAACTCGGAATTTAATTTGGATTCGACGCAAAGTCGTTCTTACTTGTATGAACTTTGTCTCATCATTTATCTCTTTCTGTTCCTAATGAGTTCATGTTTAACAAATATAGATTTTATGTGTGTTAAAAATATATAATATTATTCTGAATAAGAGAAAACCCCTTTGACTTACCCTTATATAAGCGCCCACATCGGCTACTTGCGTAGTTTGTGTCTCGAATTTGGTGACTGCAAACTCAATAAAAATCATGTCAATCTGAAAGCGATTTTTGCGCGAATAGTTCTGCAGAACGCCCGTAATGAATGATTGGGTGAAGTAGAAGCCAGATATCCAGTAGACATTCGGTTCGCCGTTATCTAGCCACTCCTGAAAGAAGGCCAGGCTGGACGCAACAAAAAATGGCTAGATGAGTTATCTTATTTTTCAATTTGTTAATAAATATTAAATATTTGAACACAAAGGGACATGGGGTGCACAAAGCACGGACAGGAGCACACAAACAGCGTCGTCCTTTGATGTCAATGGCAAATAAGATTTTCGCTATGAATGGCAGCAGCAAAAGTATTGAACATGGACAGCAACAAGCGAATGGGAGAAAGGCGGGTAGAATGCTCATGTGTGCCATACACATTTATTATATTTGCACAATTGCAGCAAAGGACGTGGCTGCTGCCCGGGATACAATGCCATTGATGGCTGCAAAAAAATAGAAATGCGACAGCGGGGAACTCACCGCGCCAGAAAGTCGCTCACGTAGCTGCCCAAAGGTTTGAGCGAGGGATAGCTCTTCTTTAGCCAATCCGCCGGCAGTTTGCCTATAATCATCGAGGCATGTGTGCGCTCCAGTTCGGGTATCATTGCAATCTGGCCCACCACAGCCTTGCTCACGTTCACCAGGCTCTTGCGTATATACGACAGCAAACGATTGAAGCGTATTAGTTCCTGACGCAGCACCGTATTCATCGAATTGGTGTAGATGACCGGATAGTTCTTGGACACCTCGATAAGGTCGAACTCTTCGGGCAATCGACTCAACAGCTCCTTGCATATGGATATGGCGGGATCCTCCTTAACGCCACCTGCCGAGCTCGCCTTCACTGATGCCATCAGATCGGTTTGCGTGAGCAGCACTCCGCTAATAAGCTGCCAGGGGAAGATATATTCTATGTGTGTATAAGAGTAAATTTTTTTTTTAGAATTTACCGCATTGGTTTCCTTCACATTGCGATTGATGTCCGCATTCTCGTGCAGACCGTATACCTCTGGCTGTGGGCTGAGCGGAAATGTGGATATGTACTCAATGGAGTTCAGTTTTGTTGGACTCAACGGCACGCAATAGTTGCCCGACTGCGACAAAGCATAACTATACGAATCGATTACACGTAATTAGACAAATGAGTAGAGAAAGCGATAGCGCATTTTCTTACTTATCCCTTTCAATGGTATTGTTATTGTATATCATGTTTAGCAGGGACAAGATAAGACGACGATCCTTGTCGTCGGTCACACGACCACCATAATTGCACTCGCCGGTGAGGTATACATGGCCACGGAATGGAATGCTGTGGCTCTGCGCAATGAACATCTTCAGCTGCAGCAAAGAGATTCTGCGAGGAGAGGAACAATTATAGAGGCTCGGAAGTTTCTGCTTCCCTTCTTAAAGCCTTTCTACAACTCACTTAAGATCCGACTCATTGAACTCATACGGAATATTCCAGCCTAGGGGGCCAAATTCGCGTCGTTCCTGAACGACAGCATGGAAGAACACCAAGGCGAAGACGCCACGTAGCCAGCACTTATTAGCCTGGTCGGAGAAGAGGAAGGCATTTGTGAAGAACTTGTCGCGCATCAGCGGATCCGACGTGAACGAGCGATGCATATTGGCGCGCAGTCCCTTGGGCGGTTCGTTTGTCATCTTCACCGAGTTTTGCAGCACGGAGACGGGAAACACAGAGCTCGGGTATGAGGTGCACCACAGCCGATAGTCGCTGTTTGCGCTATCCGTTAGCGTTGTGTCATTGCAAATGCGCTCCAGGTCGCCCATCCAGCTGAAGGCGACATGACAGTTCTGCAGGACGACCCACTGGCCGTGCCGTGCTGCCTCCGTGATCATCTTTTCCGCGCGCGGTCCTTGACCCTGACCCAGCGAAATGGTTTTCAATCTAAACGACAAGAAAGCAAACCACGCGCTTAGCATAAATTTCGGTTTAAAGTTGCAGCAGGCATCTCTGAGCGATGTCCAATCGTTGCCGGTGCACAACGCCCGAACAGGCCGGAGAGTACATGCAGCCGGTACAAGGCGCACATGTCGCGCTTAATCGAAAACAAGCCGTCCCCGGCAGCGGGGGCACAGAACACGGCGGCAACATGGAAATATGAGGCACACTCTCCACGTTAATTAACTTACTTTTCGTACATGCCGCGTTGTTTGGCGAACATAAAGAGGCTGGCCATGGGATCAGAGCCAGCTGATAGCAGAAACACTAGCGGAATTTTCGGTGAGCTATCCGCGAACGAAGCGCCCAAATCGAATGGCGGCGGCTCCACAAACGACCTGTCCAGGTTGCGCGTGATGAAGGCCTGAAAGATATGCCCGTGAGAGATGCACGTGCCTGGCGCAAAGGCTATCGATGTACTTACACGCACTGCGGGCACCAGCTTGTCGGGCCGCATGCTCTTCAGTATGATCAAATGCAACATTTCGCTGAGCTCGTCATAGGGCGCCGGCAGTGGCAAATCCTGCGGATTAGTCGAATCGTAATATTCACGCCAGGCCTGTATATTGCTTTCAATCTTTCTATGGAAGTCCTTCATGCTGCCGGCCGAAATATTAGCTAGTTAATAAATGACGGTATATCCTATTAGGTCTTACCCATCTAGATCGCTTGCGCGATAGATGCCCGCCCAGGCCTTGTCTGGGAGCCATTCCTTGTACGGATTGTTTATGATACTCTTGAAGCCAATGCCGCCCGTCAGGAAGAACAAAAGCTCATCCCTGGCCAGACGACCCTGCGAGACCAGAATGCCCAGGCACATGACCAGCGAAATAACCAGCTTATCCTTCTCGAACAGCGAACGGCAGACATTCGTATAAATGGATTTGGTAAAGTAATCGTTAAGATTGTTTAAACGCTCGGCCAGCACATTTGACTTGGGCGCCTTTAATATTGTATTCACGAAGAGATTGAGAAACCATGCCAGCGAATATTGGTACATCGGATCCACATTGGCCAGCTCGCTGATGCAGAAGAATAGAATGGCCGAATGCTTAGCCACTGGTATGTATTGCTGTCGTGCCGCATCGATTTCAATCTCAGTGGCCACGGCAATAACCTGTTTCTCCTGTATATCCTCCGATAGAATTTTACTGGACGAAAGTATGTTGATGGCGTTCTCATCCTCCAGTACATTGCCCTCTGACGTGGACAGCACCTGTGGATGGTCGCAGCGATGTGTATAAAGAACTAAATAAGTTTTCAGATTTAAACGTTTTATTTCCAGTTAATTGAATTGTCATTGGCCGGGCACAAAAACATAAATAAAATGTTTTGCTCCGGCTCTAATTGAAACGCTGTAGCCAACCCAAAAGGATGCTCAAAGCAAACAAGTCAGTAAGCTCCAATCGGGCATACTTGACTGGGAGATGCTCTGGATCAAGCGCTGAAGTGCAGTTGAGCTACACACTATGGAAAATGTGGGCGTGTTTATTATCCGATCTCAAGCCTCTAGTTTTTGTAGATCGAGATAGAAGAAGGAAGCACCTTTATCAAGATGAGCACAACAGACATACAAGAGGCTTATACAGTCCACCAAGAACATATTTCCTCAGCTTATTACATAGACTTTTTAATAAAAGCATCATACCCTTTTGCCCATACAAAGGGTATAAAAATATTGGGACTGGGAGTGGAACTTACCTCTAATATCTTGGATTCAATGGTGTACAATGCATCACGATTCCTAGCGGATTCAATAATCAATTGTTCCTTCTTCTCTTGCAAATCGGGACGCTCGTGTGCCACAACAATCGCCAGCAATTGTTCGCGTAATCCTTGTTCCGTTATCATGAAATTTAATACGGTTACCTAAACAGGGAGCCGGAATGGAGGAATGAAATAGCACGTAGTAAAAATGGGCAAAATGAAACTCCAAAATAAGCAAACACACACACACACACATACAATGTACCGCAGCAGGAAAAATAAAGAAAACGGAGAGAAAACTGCTGACAACAGTTGCAGCATAAAAAGCAATGGAAGCGAAATGCTGGAAAATTTTATAAACACGCCATCGGGCAGAACTGGGACTGGGACTAGAGCATGGGTTAGGGTATTGAGACTGGGACTAAGACTGGGCTGCTAGTTATGCAGCCAACAGACAAGAGTCGGCCTCGCACGTACATCAATGGAGTGTCCTCAACATTGTCGTCCTCAGCCTCAGCCTCGTCGTTCTCGTCATCGTCATCGTCATCGTCAATGCCATCGAAAATTTGCATATTGCCAGCGCCTGCTGCGCTGCAGCGCATTTTCCAAATATCAATTTAAGTTCGTCGTTTTATTACACAACACTAACGTCATCATTGGCTCGGCTTGCCGCAAGCTTCCAGCTGCCAGCAGCAGCCGTCTAGTCCCAATCCCCATAACCTAACCCTACTTCGATGCATATGTCAACTTACCATAACCATCACTTCCGGCGGATAGTGCGGATTGCGCAGACAGGTCGTTATGTAAAGACGAAACTCGGGATTGTATTCAATCATTGTGTCGCCGCTTCTTATGAACAGCCCGCCCTTGTGCTTGATAACGTTCTTCTCTAATATGGGCGTCAGATTTGAGTCCAGTTTCTCGCCTACAAAGTGAATATATGATTGAAAAGTGTTGTGTACAGATGGTTAATAGTGATGCTGCCCTAAACTGATGCATCCCCCTTTCCCTAGAAAGCAAAGGAACACCTTCAACTCGTTGTATCCCTTAACTCACCCACGTTCTCAATGAGCACTGGCTGACCGTAGGTTAGAGCCAATTCGAGCACTTGCATATAATTGGAATCACTTTGCTTGACCACCTTCAGATGATTGTTCTTCTCCATATTCTTGATCCACTTGTTCGCTTGTACTATAAACCACTGATTATCACATGGAATGCGCAATGTCTGCCCTTGTACTTACCCTGTGGATCGATGAGCAAAGAGTATCGACTCGAATTGGTCACAATTATGCCGTTCTCCACGGAGAAGTTGTCGGCCGGCAAACCGGCCAACGACCAGGCTCTTATGGTCATTGGATGACCCAGCGTGGTGGCCAGCGAGAACGTCTCGCTGCGCGGTATATGCCGGCGAGCGCATACCGCCATCCAGTCATCCAAAATGTTAACGCGGTACTAAAGATGTTAAAAACAAGAAAGAACAGATGTTATCGGGTTGCGGGATATTAAATACCCTTCTTATATACTTCTAATAGGGTCAAGAAACCGTGTATCTATACAATTAAATAATTTCGGTACATGCCTTGCTAACAAATTGTTATACCCTCTATCAGGTTATAATAACAACAAAACAAATTGCTTAGCTGGTTAGGGGGCCACGTTTATTTGAATATTAACATGTCAGCATTTGTGCATTTTCTGCGAGCTCACATACAAAATATCCCCATATACTTTATTCATATACTATATACATGTATGTATGAACTATGTAGAAAAATGTCACGTCAGCCGTAAAACTAAGCGCGGGGAAAATTGAAAAAGCAGCGCGAAAAACAACAAAAATAAGCAAAGAATGCGAGAGATAGAATTGTAGCATCAGGAAGTGAGTATACCCTATACAAAAAACTGTTTATCATGATGATTTTTTAGGGTATTTATCTATTGTGATTTATGTGAAGACTAACAATCGGTTTTGTTAAAGTTCTCCATCCTCATTTACTCGAAAACCCTGCTTCCTGGGGGGAAAACTGGAGGATAGTCCTTTTCTTGTATCGATTCGGAGAAAACCAACTTAAAGCTTTTTCCAGTAAAAGATATGTTAACATTTATTACCCAATCGAGTAATTGGGTCTTCAGCCTATGTCGGGGCTGTCCATGACATGGTCGGGACATCGACTAATATGCTTATCAGTGAAGCTACCCTACTGTAAACTGCGATATATATTTTTATTCGCTCCAAGTATAAACAGAAAAAAAGAGGAGAGCAAAAAAAAATGAAGGAAAATCAATGCAACGTGCTCATGCATATTAAAATCCTTTATGGAAACTCGCACGGGCCGACCACGGCGGCCATTAGCTGTACGGCAGAAAGCGCACAGATTTTAGTAATGGAAAAAGTAGCAGCATTTGCTGCAATGTTTGACCAACTCTCACCTCGGTGGTAAAGAAGCCCAGGTAAGCGGTGCAGCCGCCAGCGAGCAGCACATCGCCCACAATATTGCTGATGGACTCGTGCAGATTCTTTGCCGCCTCCGACCAGCGCGTCTTTTCACCTCCCAATCCGCCCAGCAGTTTTTCGGCTCTGCGTTGGAAAAAGGAATTAGAAGAACAAGAAAGTGGAACTAAGAGTTCTTTCTACACGCACCTTGTTAGTTTTTTCTCACAGTTCTCGATGTCGTCCTCAAGACGTTTCTTTTCACGCGACTTTTCCGCAAAGAAATCGTTTAGCTTCTGCAATTTATCGAGAATGACCTGCAGTTCGGCACGCTTGGCATTGAGCTTTTCCATTTGCTGGGACAGGTCACCCTCGGCCTCGGCCAGGGCCGCTTTCTTGGGCATGACAATGCGGGCCACCTTGTCGTAGACATCCATGGCGCGCACCCAGCGGCAAATGCCCTCGCAAGCCATGGACGCCGCTTTGATCTTCTCGGGCACAAAATCTCGATCCGCTATATACCTAAAATTAAATAGAAAAAAGAACTATGTCGTACACGGCATGTTTGGTTAGCTAGGTCACGCACTTTTCGCGAATCTTTTTAATGATGGCCGGCGGAATGTTGTCCTTGTCGAACGTCTTGAGCGACTCGAGGAACTTCATGTCGCTGAGCATGCGCATGGACGGGACCCAATAATCCTCCACCAAGTGTCCGCTTGGATCCGGTTTACGATCTGGCTTAATGCCCTTCAACACGCACACCGCCTCCAGGGTTAATTTGACGCCATATGGCGGATTCTTCATGGACTTGACCACACCAATGTCAGCCGGTTTCAGAGTGTTGAGTGCCTCGAGTGCCGCTTCCATGGCGGGTATAGCCTCGGCCAGATCCGTTTCGCAATCATCCTTAATGGCCTGGGCTGCGGCAGCTGCCTCATTGGCTGCCGCTTCATCGGCACCGACCACCTCCTTCTTTTTCTCGGCCTCTGCCGTCTCGCGCTCAATGTTTACCATGATGCGATCCGTTTCATCAGACAAGACCTTCAGCTTGGGCTGCAAGTCGTACAGATTGGTCTGCATTTCACCCACCTGACTGGCGGCAAAGTCCAACTTCTCCAGGCCAGTCGTGTATCTGTCGCGTAATCTTGTAATCTCGTCCAGCTTGCGGGCGTAGAAGGTGCGAAATGCTTTAAGCAGCTCCAAATAGGCTGAGGGTGTGACATAGTTGCGTCGACTCAACTCCAAATAGCACTTTACGCTGGCATCTACCACAGATTGATGGAAGTACATGACACAAAAGACCAAATCTTCCTCCAGCTGGGTTAGTTCACGTTCCTGCTCGCCCATCGTCTCGCGCTTTTCACCCTCCTGCACTACTGGCACTTCCTCCGAGATGCGTGGCGTTTCTTCCTCGTGCGGCTTGTTGAGATTCATGGAGGTAACAAAATAGGTGCCCACGCGATAAAGTGCCTCCTCCGGCCAGGGCATATACCAGTCGATTGTGCAGCAATTGATCAGCGAGGGGTAGACACGAATGCGCTCCTTAAAGGATTCCCCAATTGGTGAGAAGGCGAGGGCAATATGCAATTGCTCCCTAATACGCTCGATATAGTAGGCATAGACCTCGCTCGGCAGCGTGTCCAACACCTTGCCCTGCAGTTAGATTGACATGTAAATCACATCGAACCCCAATTCCATCGAGCCATGTCGACTACTCACCACTTGCTTGGCCACATTTGCCATATTCTCCAAGATGGTTGCTTTGTCCTCCAGTTGGTAGAGATTTGGTAAATCACCTGTATTAAGTATGCCATTGATATCCTCCACGTAGCCCTCATCCGTTGCCTGTAAATATACACGAGTATCAAGAGAATGTCCTTTGGCTCTACATTTTTATATGCAGGATTTGGCAACAGGTTACGAAATGCAACTGCAGCTCGAGCTGTTACATGCATTTTGCATTCGCTCTAAGTGCCATAGGATTTGATTCTACCAAATATTCCACACTGAAATTTGACAGCCACAGTCCCGAGGCGGAGTAGGAATCGAATCGAGAGTCGGTGTCGGAGTTGTAGGCTCTTTGAAACATTTTAGTGTAATTGTTAATTAATGTGTGCACCGAGATTTGTGTGTGCACAACGGACGAATCTGTTAGCTGTGAGGGGCTGGCCCCGGGGCGAAGGAAGCCCAAATACGGCATTGATTGATTTGCCAGGGAGTAGTTGAAATTTGCTCATCGTTTTCATTTGCACAGGTTGCATTCAAATGTTGCTTTAGCCAAGCAAAAGGTATACATAATCACTTTATCATCATCAGCAAAATGCAGTTGGATATCGCATTTCTAGCCTCGGCTCGAAGGCACCAAACATTTAACATTAAAGTTGCAAATAGCAAAAGTAGACATCTCTAATATCAAATGAAGAACATTTGTCCCAAGATTAATTACCCTTGCAGAATTGCAATATATTCTTAGTATATTCCTTAATTCATAAAAGTTAATTTCCGGTAGATTGATGCCACATGAAGAGAGTAGAGAGCACAATATCTCTGCTGAGTTTGATTTAAATACTCATATATATAAATTGTATAGAAAATCATAAATATTTCTTGAACTCGGAAAAAGTATTCAAGCTTTCCTAACATATATTTCTGGATATTAATATTTTGGCATATAATTGCACATAGAAACTAACACAAACGTATTTGCAATATCTTATGTATTGTTTTATCGCATCAATATGTTTTTTTGGCCATGTTATTTATTAGCTTTTATTCAGTTTCTGAGCTGCGCTCAAATCTTGTTGTACCGCAAATGCTCTTCATTTGACATAATTGATGGCTGCTGCGTATGCAAATTATTTGGCAATAATTAAAGTTACATAGTTCAACAATTAACCTAATTATAAATGCAAATTTTGGCACAAACAATGATGCTGCTTGCATTCCGCTTGGCTTACAAGCCAAAATTTAATTTTTGCTGCACATCAAGTGTGTATAAGTGTGTGCGAGTGTGTGTGTTTGTGTTACGCCTGACTGTCAAGAATATTCAAATTAATTTGGATTAAATTCTAGTTCCTATCTCCGAGATCTTTATGGGTTTGTTGTACCCCGCTGGCATTGATGTGAGCTGTATTGTCTGTCAATGCGGTTTACAACATTATCAAAATGTCTTTTTTATTGATCCAACTGGTTGTCTGATGCTTATGCTGATAGTTTTGACATAACGAGCCACTCACCTGGGCGTCGGAGAAGAGAAAGACGGTGTGATTCAAATTAAAACTAGCGGCCATTAGTATTTTCTTGAGATCATCGCGCCAATCGGTTATGGTATACGACTTGGACACCTGCACGGTCATCAGGCGACAGTCGGCTATGTGTGCGGCCAGCCGGCAAGAGCTGCGGCGCCCGGAACCACCCATGCCCACCATTAGGATGTTGCCTCTAGGCATTTGCAGCACACGAGAGACCCTGCAGGATAGTTGACAATTAAAGTTGCACTTTGAGGAATCAATAATATTGTAATCAACGCAAAAACAAATGTGTCTAGTAAGGATCGATATTATACATATAGAGCTGAGAACATTCGGATTTCAAGGCCTTGCTTATTAAAATCGGGAACGATTAGAATTAGATTACCAGGGTAGATTTATTTAGTGCAAATGTATGTTACGAACGGAAAGAAGCATCTTCGACCCCAGAAAATCATATATTCGTGCTCAGCATCAAAAGTCGAGTCGATCTAGCCATGTCAGTCCTTCTGTCTACAGTATAAATGCCTGATTTCAGAGACTATTAAGAGAGAGAAACTAAGGAATTCAAATTCTGAACGTAAGTCTGCCTATAACCCACGCAAGTTTGTTTAAACTTTACCCGTTTCCACGAAATCGCTAAAAATCAATTTCCAAACCATATTTTTAAAGCCGAACTGAGAGTTTATAAAATCTCGAGGCAGAAAATTTGGTATGCAAATCTATAATATTTGACATTTTTAAAAAATGTCTACGTTCTCCCCGAAAAAGAAAATAAAATTATTGGAGGTTTAGTCTAGGGGTTTGGTATTAGCACACATTTTGATAATATATGTATGCCCTTAAAATATCATAAATATCAGATAATATCCACCTAAGTTTATACGGGAAAAAATGAAGCATAGAAAATGAATACCCTTGTACTTAAAGCATATTATTTACCTGCTGACATGCTCGATGGCGAACCGAAACATAACCAGATCCATGGGCGTGCTGGAGAACGAATTGTATTCGCGCAGATAGTACTTCATGAGCTTCTCCAGTTTCTGGTAGCTTTCGCATTCGTCATAGAACTTGGGCTCCGCATCCGGTTCCATGTAGTTGCCATAGAATAGATTGCGCAGATCATTATCGCTAAGTTTCTCGCCCGGTTCCATGCGCTCGGCAAAGGCGGACTCCAGCGGGAAGCGCAGACAGTTCTTGCACGCGTCAATGGCCATGACTAGGAGACGGTCACGATCCAGCTGGTCGACCAGACTGCAAATTGGCGACAGCCAGACGATACAATAAAAATCGAAAAAAAAAACGGGCAGGTCATAAATGGCGGGTCGGACAAAAGGTTACGTACCGGTCATAAAACACACGATAAGTTTCATGCGCCCACAAACGACCCAGCTTTTCCGTATCCGGCATACGCTTCGACGGCACCATCACGATGCCCTGAAAGACGCGCGTTATATCCCGCAAAGAAAAGGTGTAGTGCGATTTGGCTGGCGTGGGCAGGAAGATGCGCATTGCTTCGCGATAGACGCTGACCATTGCCTCCGCCAGGCCCTGCAAAAATCATGCACACACATATGAGAAGGTACTTGTACAAATGCAGCAGCAGCAGCAGCAGCAACAAAAACACACGCAGGACACACACAGGACATGGCCAGTCGAACTTTTTGCGAAATGAAGTTATAAAATTCGCCATTTTAATTTTATTATGCGCCAGCGCCTGGAAGCGAGCCAAAAATGAAGGCGCACAGTTGCACAAAGATTCCCCAGTGCGTGGTTGTCTTTCTTATTGTTGTTTTTGTTGCTGTGGATTGTGGGTTGATGGAACGTACGCGTGATAACAGTGCCACCTTCTCGGGATAGCCCTTGGCAAAGTGCCAATCACCAATCGTCGTGAATATACGTATGATGGTTGAATCCTCAAAGGAGTCGACGGCCACAACGAACATGTGCCGATAGAGACGCGGAAAGATAAAGTTGCTGCCGCCCAATGTGCCCATGGCACACACCAGCGACTGTCCGCATGTAAGAGAGAGAGAAACAAAGTGAGAGTGTGAGAGAGAGAGAGGGGAAATCACAAGTTATGGCCTGTTTATAGAGACAGGATATTGTCGACATATAGCTGTCAACTATTGACGGTGTAAGGATATTAACTTATCGGTGGAAAAGTCAGCGAAATATATATAAATATATGTCAATTAAAAGATCTACAACAATTAAACCCAAGTAAACCATATACATATATAGACATGTGTAAAATTTCCCACTCCCATGACTTGGTCAAATCTCATTCGTTTTGCACGAGATTTGGCTTTTTATGCATGGTGTGCCTCTTGATCAATTTGGCATCTAAATCTAGAAACGTCAATCTTGGTCAAAATTAATGTGAAAATTGTAAACTCAAAATCTTATATAGACATGTCAAAATTTACCACCCCATAACTCGGTCAAATCTCATCCGATTTTCACGAGATTTGTATTTTTCTTCATGGTTTTACCTCTAGATTAATCTGACATTAAAATCTGAACACCGATTTTTTAGTCGAAATTCATGTCCAAATCTAACCCCAAGATTCGTATATAGACAAGGGTCAAAATTTACCACCCCCATAACTCGGTCAAATCTCAACCGATTTTTACGAGATTTGTATTTTTCTTCATGGTTTTACCTCTATATTAATCTGACATTAAAATCTGAACACCGATTTTTTAGTCGAAATTCATGTCCAAATCTAACCCAAAGATTCGTATATAGACATGGGCAAAATTTACCAGCCCCATAACTCGGTCAAATCTCATCCGATTTTCACGAGATTTGTATTTTTCTTCATGGTTTTACGTCTATATTAATCTGACATTAAAATCTGAACACCGATTTTTTAGTCGAAATTCATGTCCAAATCTAACCCCAAGATTCGTATATAGACAAATCTAACCCCAAGATTCGTATATAGACATGGGTCAAAATTTACAACCCCCATAACTCGGTCAAATCTCATCCGATTTTCACGAGATTTGTATTTTTCTTCATGGTTTTACTTCTAGATTAATCTGGCATTAAAATCTGAACACCGATTTTTTAGTCGAAATTCATGTCCAAATCTAACCCCAAGATTCGTATATAGACAAATCTAACCCCAAGATTCGTATATAGACATGGGTCAAAATTTACAACCCCCATAACTCGGTCAAATCTCATCCGATTTTCACGAGATTTGTATTTTTCTTCATGGTTTTACCTCTAGATTAATCTGACATTAAAATCTGAACACCGATTTTTTAGTCGAAATTCATGTCCAAATCTAACCCCAAGATTCGTATATAGACAAATCTAACCCCAAGATTCGTATATAGACATGGGTCAAAATTTACCACCCCCATAACTCGGTCAAATCTCATCCGATTTTCACGAGATTTGTATTTTTCTTCATGGTTTTACGTCTATATTAATCTGACATTAAAATCTGAACACCGATTTTTTAGTCGAAATTCATGTCCAAATCTAACCCAAAGATTCGTATATAGACGTGGGCAAAATTTACCAGCCCCATAACTCGGTCAAATCTCATCCGATTTTCACGAGATTTGTATTTTTCTTCATGGTTTTACGTCTATATTAATCTGACATTAAAATCTGAACACCGATTTTTTAGTCGAAATTCATGTCCAAATCTAACCCCAAGATTCGTATATAGACATGGGTCAAAATTTACCACCCCATAACTCGGTCAAATCTCATCCGATTTTCACGAGATTTGTATTTTTCTTCATGGTTTTACCTCTAGATTAATCTGACATTAAAATCTGAACAACGATTTTTTTGTCGAAATTCATGTCCAAATCTAACCCAAACATTCGTATATAGACATGGGCAAAATTTACCAGCCCCATAACTCGGTCAAATCTCATCCGATTTTCACGAGATTTGTATTTTTCTTCATGGTTTTACTTCTATATTAATCTGGCATTAAAATCTGAACACCGATTTTTTAGTCGAAATTCATGTCCAAATCTAACCCCAAGATTCGTATATAGACAAATCTAACCCCAAGATTCGTATATAGACATGGGTCAAAATTTACCACCCCCATAACTCGGTCAAATCTCATCCGATTTTCACGAGATTTGTATTTTTCTTCATGGTTTTACCTCTAGATTAATCTGACATTAAAATCTGAACACCGATTATTTAGTCGAAATTCATGTCCAAATCTAACCCCAAGATTCGTATATAGACAAATCTAACCCCAAGATTCGTATATAGACATGGGTCAAAATTTACCACCCCCATAACTCGGTCAAATCTCATCCGATTTTCACGAGATTTGTATTTTTCTTCATGGTTTTACCTCTAGATTAATCTGACATTAAAATCTGAACAACGATTTTTTTGTCGAAATTCATGTCCAAATCTAACCCAAAGATTCGTATATAGACATGGGCAAAATTTACCAGCCCCATAACTCGGTCAAATCTCATCCGATTTTCACGAGATTTGTATTTTTCTTCATGGTTTTACTTCTATATTAATCTGACATTAAAATCTGAACACCGATTTTTTAGTCGAAATTCATGTCCAAATCTAACCCCAAGATTCGTATATAGACAAATCTAACCCCAAGATTCGTATATAGACATGGGTCAAAATTTACCACCCCCATAACTCGGTCAAATCTCATCCGATTTTCACGAGATTTGTATTTTTCTTCATGGTTTTACCTCTAGATTAATCTGACATTAAAATCTGAACACCGATTATTTAGTCGAAATTCATGTCCAAATCTAACCCCAAGATTCGTATATAGACAAATCTAACCCCAAGATTCGTATATAGACATGGGTCAAAATTTACCACCCCCATAACTCGGTCAAATCTCATCCGATTTTCACGAGATTTGTATTTTTCTTCATGGTTTTACCTCTAGATTAATCTGACATTAAAATCTGAACAACGATTTTTTTGTCGAAATTCATGTCCAAATCTAACCCAAAGATTCGTATATAGACATGGGCAAAATTTACCAGCCCCATAACTCGGTCAAATCTCATCCGATTTTCACGAGATTTGTATTTTTCTTCATGGTTTTACTTCTATATTAATCTGACATTAAAATCTGAACACCGATTTTTTAGTCGAAATTCATGTCCAAATCTAACCCCAAGATTCGTATATAGACATGGGTCAAAATTTACCACCCCATAACTCGGTCAAATCTCATTCGGTTTTTACGAAGTTGGGCTTTTTGTTCATGGTTTTCCCTCTAGTATAATCTGGCACTCAAATCTAAATCTGGCAGCAAGCATAATTGCTAGTATATACTTGTATCTGGCCTATTGATAAATAGTTGCATCGATAGATTTCGCCAACCACTGTGATTCGTTCACAGACCACAATTGCCACTCACCATGTCAACCAGCTCGATTTTGGTTGTATCCACTAAATCCGACCAGTAGCCATGATCCAGCCAGGTGCGCAGCAGCTCCAAAGGCGGCTGTGATCCGTACGTGTCCTTCGAGGGCATGGCCACATCATCACAGAAGACTACGCACTATGTGGAATAAATCTTAATAACCTGAAATTACATTGTGCTGCAGCTCTTAATACCTTCTTGCCGAGTGCTGGTCCAAAAACACCCTTGCGCCGACGATCCAGTTTGCTCATGATGGTGTCCTGCACCATTTGGGCGGAGGTGCGCGCCGAGAAGTTGATGATGTTGATGAGATTCGCAAATTTGGGCAGGGCCAACAAATTGCTGGTTATGATGGCGCTCTTGCCGGTGCCCGTCGGTCCGACGACCAGCATGCCATACGACTTGGATATGCAAAACTCCTGCCAGTAGGATATGTAGCCCGTCTCCTTAGTTGGCACGATCAGCTCGCTGATCTGTGCATGCTCCGGAAAGTGTGCGCTACCCGATGAGGGATCATCGGAGGACTTTTGCCAGGTCCACCAGTTTTCGGCCTCATCGAAGCGATAGTCGAGAAATACTTGCTTCTCGGGAAACATTTGGCCGCGATTCAGCGAGAAGTACTTGGGCTTGGGGAAATCCTCGTTCGAGCCATAAATCACCTTACGCAGCAGCGCGTCAAAGACCCGCTGGCCGCTGCCCGTCAGCGCGGAGCAATAGGCCCAGGCATAACAGAAGAGAAACATTTGCTGGAACCACGTCTGATTGAAGACCTTGTGCTTCTCGAGGAAATGCAGAAAGAAGCGCGAGAATGTCTGATATTGATAAAGCGGCGAAAGCTCCAGCATTTGCTTGCATTGTGGCAGAAACTCCAGGGCGGCCGGTATCAGCCAGTCGACCATGTCCTCAAAGAGTGACATATAAATACTGTTGAGACCCACGGAATTGATCAGGACATTGCAGAAGCTCTTGTGGAAGGTGCGCCAGCCCAGCTGCGACGGTTCCATATAGATCATGCCGCAGCGGGACACAGTGGCCGGTGAGGCCTGCTCCAGATCGGCGGGCTCGAACATCATGTTCATCATTTTGGTCATTTGCATAATCTCGCCGGACATAAGGCACAGTTTCTTGTTGTCGTCCAGCACGGTATTCAAATTCTCAATCCACACCGCATCCACGGGACCATCAAACATGACCCAGGCGCGCTCCGATTTAGGACCCTGCACCTGTTCGCGAAACGTTTTGGCCAACACACCGTCCGACCACTCATGCGAGACGGGATCGAAGCGTCCATAAAGCTGACCCATCGTAATTGCCTTGGGATTAATAATGCGAAAGACCACCGGATACTCCTTGAGCGTCGCCTCCTCATCAATGGACACATTGCGCAGCGTCAGCGCGAGCATCTACAGTCGAATTTTGGACAATGCAGAATTATTTAGTTGAGACAGATCTCCCCTCATTAACTTACCTGATAGGCTGTGGTCTTGCCGCCCATGGAGCCGCCCACTATCATCAGTCCGTGCCGCACCAGCATCATTTCGTATATCTGAAGTATTTTTTCCAAATACCAAGGCGTTGCCTGCAGATTACGCTCCTCCAGATTAATACGCAGCCACTTGAGTATGTCATCGCGTTGTGGCTACACGAAGTAGTAGAGACAGAGGTAGGAAGAGGTCGGTAAATGGCAAAGGAAAACAGGTGTAAATGAAATATGAAAAATATGCAATGAAATATGCAATCAAAAAAAAAAGCTTGAATGGGCATTTCATTATGGACACCGGCAAGCAGCTACAGCACATTCTTTATGCAGTTGGTGACACAAAAGGCGGCATTAATGATAAATAAAAGTCAGTTGCTGGAAATAAAGATGCACATCAGTCAATCTCCAAGGCGAAATCAGTCAATCATAAAACAAAAATACACTTGACTACTTAATGCAGAGCATAATTCATAGTTAAGATCAGAGTTATAAAGAAAAACCTACAGCTCAAGCCTTCTGAACTTTTGGGTCAGAAAATAGATGAAAAAGCTTTAAGCATTAGAGATTTTAGCAAATGGCAGGCAAAATCCTATTCCTGGGCGAACTAGCGTAATACTAGGATCTGACTAAAAGGGTATTCGGTCTTCGTTATGGCCCGGCTTGACTGATTTTTAATATACTTTGCTATCGGGCATCTGTCAACCGGTTATCGCATTAATTTGCTGTACTTAACTGCGTCGCTTCCGTCTCATTACACCTGAAATTTAATGAATTTCTATATACAGCTGGAGAAGGCACTTACCATGGGCAGGTCGACGCCTGGAAACAGATCCATATAGATGCCAATGAAGAGGGAAATATCCTGTTCCAGGAATTTCGGCAGATTGACATCAACAATGGCGCGCAAAACAATCTCTGGCTCCGGCAGGTCAACATAAAGGCGACGCAGCGATGCGGAGGCCAACAGCACAGATTTCACGGCGCGCATACCTGGCAAATTGTAGAAGCAGTGGGCGTGGCATTAGCTTGAGAGAGCTATGCAGCATATTTTGGCGGAACGCATAACTCAGCTTCGGTGTTGATCTCAGGCATTCAATGGCAGCGGATGCGCTCAATATGGGCAATACCTGAACATTACACCGGAGCTTCATTACAGGCGCCGCTTGGAGAATGCAAAAGTTTTGCAACTGGTCAGAGGCGAACAACAACAACAACAACATTGGCAACTAAATGTACAAATAGTTTTTATTATTAGTTTGCAAAACAACACGCACACCCACACACAGACACACATACACACAACATTGTGTGTGGCATTTGTCTCGCACACACGCAGCACAAAGCGCAGCAAACTTGCAAGAAAGTTTTTCAATTTAAACTCAAAATAAGATACTGATCAAATGTACTTTGCACATAAACTTGCACAGCTGCCAGCCTGCAATTGCAGTCATCGGCCGGACATATACACACAAACACGCACGCACACACACACACACACACACACACAGAAGAAAAATACACACACACAACCTCACGGACATGTTGTAATGTCATATGACATGTTATGTCGTAAAAGCGAGCAATATCTTTGCCTTGAAACAAGAAAGAAAACAAGTTAAAGGAAAATGTACACACACACACATAGTCGCCGGATGCAGGATGCAGTTAAACAGCGCAGGATGCAGGACAGGCACAAAGTTGTTGGCCCCAATGCTGGGGTTGCGTCTACTTTTTGTGCCTTATTAGCCAGTTGAAATAGTTGCCCATAAATATAACACACGCTAAAAGTAATCGAATCAGAAAGATATATGTGTGAATAACAGGCCTGCATTGGCTCCAGTCGAAATAGCTCGCCATAGGAACATACGCTAAAGGTAATCAAATCAGGAAGATATACGAATGAGTATATATGTTAGAGGCCTGCATCGTCTACTTAAACAATATTTTTCGGCTCGAACTGTTCGAGTTGTAGACAAATTCGGTTCGACCGAACAAGTCAGCTCGAGCTGATCGAGCACTCTTCAAACTCTTGGCTATAATCAAGCTGTTCGCTTAGCTCGAGCATGTTTCTGACTCGAATAGCTCGAACTTGGCTTGTATGAATGTCTTTGACTTTTGCGAATCGTTTATACGAACACTCTTCAGCTTCCTACTGGATAGTTTGAGTCTCGCGCTTCGTTTGAGTATTCGATTTGTCTATCATTTTTTCCCCCAAATACTTACCATAATCGTAATGCGACTGCGAAGACAGCTGCTCCGAGCACAATTTGTAGGCCTGCACAATCTTCTGGGATAAAACGCGCGCCATATCGAAGCCGTTGGAGTAGAGTGTTATCTCGCCAATCATTGCATAATCCGGCACCATCATGGCCACTGTGCGGAATAGAACCTTCAGATTATCCGGCAGCTCTGTGCGGCCAGCGTAGCTGTTTAATGCCAAAGGAGCAGAAAGAGGGTACAGATTAAAACGTTTTCAGAGTACAATGGCCAATCAAATACATCAAATTGCAAGTGCTAATGGCATAAATAGTAAACCCAGTCTGGAAGCCAGGCAATAACCAATATGAGTGACTGCTTTTAGGGCCGTCTGGCTGATTGACAAATTGGCAAGCAAAAGGCAGTCACACAAAAAACTAAAAATATTAGTTATTTTCGGAATGCCGGCAATCAAATACCCTATCAAATATTAAGATGAATATCAATGCGGTCTACACAGAATGTTCCTTACATACAGAAAATAGATTGCATGGATGAATAATACGCCTCAGGAATATATGAGGTTTTAAAAGTCCAGGCATGATTTAACATGCGAGATCGAAGAGTTTCTAGATAAGAAAATATCTTATCAAAAATATAAATATTTTGTGGCATTGATGATGTCTTCTTCTTCAATGCGTCACATAATTTACAACAATAATAAAATACCCTGCCGCTAGGAAATGAAAGGACTAAACTCTCTGTCCGGAATGCCCGTTGGCCGAGTAAAAAAGAAGCTGGGCAAACGAAATTAAGACCTTTTCTGAATGGCAGTCGGAACGCCTTGGCACAGTCTGAGTTTCAGTTTTGACTGCGAACACACGTTGCGTGCGGATAGGCCGGCGGGATGGGATGGGGAGGAATTGCAGTGGCTAGGCCTAATATGCATGTTTGTCGCAGCTGTTCCACATGCATGCCAAAGCAATAAATATTCGCAGCCGTATGGGCTCAAATCTCCAATAACGCAATAACTACCAATATCGTGACCATGCCCAAAGGCCCGCCAGCCTATGGTAACTAATAGCCTCACCCTGGTCACCCAGTCACACAGTCGTAGTCGCAGTCCCTGTCAGTGACAGTATGTCCCCACGGGGCATGGTACTGCGGAAAGGGGGGCTAGGGGGCGTGGACGTAGGCCGTGTCGGCTTACAAAGTAACTAAAGCATTTTCAAATGCACAGCTGCAAAAAGAGTTGGGCCATAAAAAAAGGCGCTGCGTGAAACCGCAGCTGCTGCTGCTGCTCCTGCTACTCCTGCTGCCGGCTCAGCTTCGTCGGCTCTCACGTACGGGCCAGTGCCACTCACCCAGGATTCATGGTTATGAATATGGAACAAGTTGGATCCAGTTTGAGCATCGTGTCCTCAAAAAAGAATTTCACAACCTTGCGTCCAATCGCCCGCTGGATGGTCAGAATCTGTTGCGCGACCACCGACAGCACTTCCAGCTCTATGCGATTGAACTCATCGAAGCAGGCCCAAGCTCCCGACTGTGCCAGGCCCTGAAAAGACAGGAAACAAACAAAAAGCATGTAAAACATCGAAAAAAATAAGTACAATTTATCTCGTCGAAAATGTTAGACTGGTAGATACCATGCACCATGCACTCCGATAATAAAAATGGGCGAAAAGACAGGTAAAAATGTATATGAGAAAAAAATGTACTTTGTAAGGATCGGCTCATCAGCCGATTGCGTGGCTTAAATATCTGATCGTTGAACTAACAGTGAGAAGTTGCCACTTAAACCCAGCGGAAATTACAAATTTGAATATATCTGGTATAAGTATAGATTATATCTAGATGGGAACCAACAAGCGAGATGTCGCTGGCTCAAACCCAGCCACCATGTCCACTCGGCGACTGCAATACACCCCACATATATACCCGTTAATCAATAGGGTACAGGGCATCAAAAGAATAGAAATACATACATGGCAAGGTTGCGGGGACAAAGGGTACATGTATAACAAAACGCATTCAGCAGAGAAATGGCAAAAATAGCAAAAGCAAACAGCAGCATAAACATTATTTTCAGTTTCTCATCGGTTCTCGGTTCTCGGTTCTGTTCTTTTTGGTTACGGTTCGATTTCGTTCCGAGTGTTTGTATCTGTGTGTGCTTGTGTGTGTGTATCTGAGTGTGTAGTTACCAATGCCTCGACAAACGGCAAGGGCACAAACATTGCAACAGGGTTGACAGAGACGTACACGAGGAGGAATCGCTGTTGCGTGGGTTGCCCTACGGTATGTGGTTCCGGGCGATGGGGTCAGACGCGTGGACTGTGGACTGTGGACTAGGGGGGGGGCAATACGAATACGTACGCCCTTTGATATGCTTTTCTTTTGCATGTTGCAATAAATATGCAGCTTTATGCAGCAGCATAGCTGCGTTCTCGAAGTGCTCGTAACATATGCCAACTGACTGTTTGCTGTGCTGCACAATGGACAGATGCTGGCCAAAGTAGCAGAAAAGCGCTTCTTAAAGAGATTTTATAGACGTTTATGCATAAGTATAATTCCGAAGAGTATGATAATGTAAGCAGATTTAAATTTAAAGACTGCGAATGCTGTCTTAAGATTGACAGTCACCCGACTTGGCTAGTTTCATCAAATGGACCTTTAAGCCAGGCAATAAAATTGTATAAACTTTTTATAGATCTTCATTTGAAGTTTATTCAGTATAGTCAATATGTAAGATATAGAAGATTGACATCTTCGATCTCATGAAATAATCTATATACTATAAACTTAATTAATTAGTCATGCAACTGTCTTCAAACTAGTCTCTCTTAATCTATAATGATAAATTGACGATCGACTTGATTGGTCACATTATGATATAGCTGCTATCAGAACACGCAGTCGAAATTGAAGGTTTTTTATAGAAACTTGTTTGTTTTTCAAGATTCATTGACCAAACTAAGCAATTAAGAGCTCTAATAATCTCTCAACATTTGAGCATAGTATACAAAGATATAAATATACAAATATATAAAAAGAATAAATATAACTCGCAGACCTGGTATCTGGTAATCATTAGCTTTTGCTGTTCCTTTTATTACCCAGCTATTTTCGGGAAAACATTCGCTTCTTTCAACTCTTGTAGATTTTGTGTAAAGCACGTCTCAAATAAGTTTTTATGAAAATCTTTGAAACTGTGTTAAATGCCAATCGGCTGGTAATCAAAAAATTTGTATGCTAACGTTTTCCGCGAATCTTCCACACTTGCGGGTGAGGTTTTAATCACCTCGTCAAAACGTGCACCCTCGTCTATAATTATACTTATAAATTAAGCTTCTTAGCTCTTAAGGATTAGACAAGGCTTTAAGCACCGATTCGTCCGTAAATCGACCAGGACAAATAGTTATATACACATATATGTAGATATGCATATTTAGTTATTTTTCTATGGGAAAAAAAACATCAAAATCAAATAATATAGCAAAAAAAAAGCTGCGGAACAGAGTTTGGAGAATTTGTGCAGAATTTGTTAATTTTAAATTTTAAATATTTCTCGAAGTACTTTTAAAAAGAAACAGCTAATTCAATTAAAAAATAGGCAGAATTGCAGTTACCTGAAAATTTCAACAGCTGAAAAAAGGCCAAAATATAGCTAGAAAATAGCTCTTACAACACAAGTAGAAGCAGAACCGTATCGATGTGGCATCAACCAACACTCAAAGCTGTTTTACATGCTGTTGTGCGTTCGCACAGTTTTTCTAGTCAGAGTCCATGTTCCCATTGTGCAATTAGCGCCAGCAACTACATGAGTGTGTGCAAGTGTGTGCGTGTGTGTGTGTGCGTGTACGAGTGTGTGCCTTGTTTGTGCCTCTTTTTTCAGTGCTGCGCCTTTGCACAGAGCGCGTGGCAATTGGATACTTTGAACTCCATCAAAGTGGTTTGTTGCCATTGGCAGCCGGAATACTCGCGCATCGGGCTGGCAGCCTCCTTTGTTTTTTTTTTTTTGTTCGTGGTTAGCAGCAGTCTATCCGCTCATAGATTCATAGATATTGAGAAGTTTTGCCCAATTCATGGTATATGCTGCCTTTTGTTTTTGCGGAACAACATTGTGGCGAGCATTTTATGGGCATTTCCATTTCCAGAGAGGGACGAGAGTTGCAGCCAGACCAAAAAATGTTTTTCTGGCAAGCGTATTTGCCATATCTGGGCAGGCATAAATCGAAATCGAAATAGTTTGAATTGTTTGCCAATTGCAAATTATTTTATTGCTTGCAAAATTGTTTTGCCCTGACAAAACTGCAGACTGCGTGTGGAAAATTTACGACTTCCGAAACATTATGACAACAGACAGACGGAGAGAGGCAGCTGAAGCTGAGTGGAGCGAGTAATCAGCATGAAAACATAGAAACTACTTTCTAAAAACTAGGCAGCTATAAACAAAATTATAAAACACATCCACAAATGAACATCAGTTTAAAGTGAATAAATGGCAAGACAAACGCTTGGCACTAAAATTAAATAAATTAAATTAATCTAAATCGAAACTCGAACGCTCAATTTGCGGTTTCTTCGTGTTGTTGTTGCTGTTGTGTCTGTCTGTGCACGATTCGCGCCAAAGTTTGCCATTATTTTCGCATGCAAATTAACGTGAAACCCATACCCAGTCCGCATCTGATAATAGAGGGGGCTCTTAACCATTATGCAATTAGGCGTGCTACAGAATTAAGCGATTAGAGGCTTAAAACACGCATTAATTTTACTACAAAAACTACAGCACCCACTTAAGATGTGCGTGTGTGTGTGTGTGTAAATATGCGTGTGCGGTTAACGACCTGCTAATAAAAATTTGCATAGATTTGAAGTGAGGCGCTCACGAAAGCTTTTGACTCAAGTCCCACACACACTTGGCTTAGTTCGTGTTGACCAACTAGTCGCCACGGCGATTACTTTCACAAACTGCCTAATTAGTCAGCCCATAGAATTGCATAAATTTCCATATAACTCGGCATCTGCTTGTCTATCTCTTTGTGTACATTCGATATTCTTGGCCACAGGCAACTGGCGAACGGCGAACGGCTCCGCTGTGTCTGGATCAATTTACACTGGGAGAATGTAAGGGGGATGTGCTTTGGAAGATGCCTGTGTTTTTTTTAAGAAGAATTAACTTAATTAGTTCTTATTGGTATCCTAGATAGATCTACGATTGAAGAACTTAGGAGTCAGATTCGAAATATATTCGACAAAAAAGAAATAAATTGTGTTTAAATAAAAGCACAAAACATCCCAGACACAGATACAAACAAATTCTAGACCTAGATTAAACTTATATAAAAAAAAAATTGTGATCAAATCACAAAAATTGGAACTTCGCAACTTAAAAAGTTATACAAATATACATGTCGTGCGCAGCTAAAAGAAATTCCAATCTTAGCTGATTAACAAACTTGGCTAGTCAATTATATATATACAGGGTATTTCTCTCAGTGTAACGCGTGCGTGTGTGTATACAGAAAGTCATCATTGGTGCGCGTGCCACAGTGCCCGGGACAGGTTCTTTTGATTAATGTTGTTGGCCAACATTGGGGCCATCAATTAGCTGGCAGGCGAGCGGCAGAGACAGCGCGTCGCAATTCTCGGAACTGAAACAGAATCGAGAGAAGCCACTCAGAAAACTCACCTTGAAGAACTTGCCCAGCGCCTTGTAGTCCAGGCCGTCAGAGCAATTGAAGACGACGCATTTCTTGGCCACGGCCTTGGCCAGATCCTTGCAGGTCTCCGTTTTGCCAGTGCCCGCAGGTCCTTCGGGCGCGCCGCCCAGGCACAACTTCAGAGCGCCCATCAAAGTGCTGCAAACGAGAATCAAAAAACAGAATTAGAAAACAGGTTTCACAGTCAGTTGTGCGTGTTGGGTTGCAGGCGGCAAAATGCCAAAGTATGTTTTTAATATCTGTTTGGCATTTTTTCACATTTCTCGCTGTTGCAGCTTAAAAAAATTGTCATTTATGTGTATTCCCTTTTCTTTTTTTTTTCTTTTTTTGCTAACAGCCCATTTTTATGCCCTGCACTAATAAAATGGGTAGGGGAGAAAAGGGTATAATAAAGCTGGGCCAATGTGTTTGTGACAAACAGCAAGGAGGCATCTTTGAGCCAGTAACAGATGTACAGTGCTCGCTCGCTAATTGGGCCCAGATGCTAAATTATCCGGTTCAAATGAGGATATTATAAATTGTTGATTAGTTAAAATATTTTACTATACAGCCAAATAATTTAATATAATTTTCGTGCGTTAAATAAATGAAGAGAAAGTTATGACCTAATGGCAGGGTGTTAGTTCGAACTCCAAACCGAATCTCTTAAAACTTTAACAAAGATGGAAAGTTAAAGTTTATTTTATATAGAAGTTACTCTTAAAATAGACTTTTCTGGGATAAGGGATATTATTTTGAGATCATATTTCCATCTAGTATAAATTCTTTTCAGAGTTGAATCGAAAAATTCTTAGAGTTTCTCTATCAACAACTCTTGCCAACAATTTTGTTCCTATTTAATAGCAGCAATGCTGGGATAGCATTTTAATTTTTAAATAATATTTCCATCTCCAAATATTCTCAGTTTCTCTATCAATTATGTTTTTGTCAACACTTTTGCTCATATTTAAAATAGGGTATTTAATCTTCTACACGACAAAAGCCAGTTTTCTCTCTTTTTCTCTTCATTTTTTTTCTGCCTGTGCAAGTTCATATTTTTATCATATTGGCAGCGCTGCCAGCTTCGCGTTGGTCGGTTGTATATTTTTTAGCATTTCCGGTATGGCCATACAAATATCTATACTCTCGTTTTTTAACTATGCATGTGTGTGTGTGTGAGTGAAAAACTGTCCAACATTGATTTATTTGTTTAATATAAAAGTTTTATCGGAAACCCCATTAAAATGTCCTTTCTGCCAGCTTGCCAGCAACGGCCTGGCTGTGCTCTGTGTCCTGCTGCTGTTCGCGTTTGTCGTAGGCAGCTTAAACATCGAAAAAGGTTTTCAGCTCTTTTTGGCGTATTTTGTTGTAAAAATGAAAATAAATTTAAAATGCACCGAAATAAAATAAATATTTTTCCAATAAACGTTGCCTTTCATGACTTTTAGAAGGCCGCGAGGCAGCGCCGCGCCCGGGCATTGACTAAAGGCTCAGCTGCTTGGCAAACGTTTTGTCAATTAATATTTGCATGTGTGTGTGTGTGTGCGAGTATCTGTGTGAATGAGCAGATAAAATTTGTTACCCACCGGTAGCAGCGATCCGTGAGAGGCGTAACCACCAGACGTGGCAAATTACCCAGATATTCCATGCCATACTTAACCTCTGTGACGACCATGCTGACGCACACCCATTCCTCATTTTCTATGTGGGAAGAGGGGCGACACTTTAGTTTAACTAATGCAAATTGTAGAGGGTATCTGCGACCTACTCTCATCGATCTTCCAATAGTAGCGCAGCTGCGAGATCCAATCAAAGTCCTGTATGCTCGTCACCCTCAAGTCTGCCAAATACTTGACCACATCGCGCGCTGTAGGTCGCTCTTTAAATTAGCTAATTCTTAGAGAAAGAGTTCAACCCAACTACAACTGACCATGCACATCCAGCACAATGAGGGCCTCCACAGCAATGCGAACGCCGGCCTGGAGATCTGTGCGCACGAGCTGAACAAGGTCGCCAATTTGGGTATTCGACTTCTCCAAATATGCCGGCAGTAATTTCTTCTCAATGGCTTCCTCCACCTGGCAAAAGTAAATAGCAAAAGAACATAAAGTAAAGCAGCAGCTGCGGCTTTGCTGGGCAAGCAAATAAATGGCAAAAAATGATTTTCAATTTTAACCAGAGAAACACGCGCTCAAAGCCCAGAAGGGAAAAGCGCAGAAGGCGGCGGACGAAGCGTGGCTAATCGCACTGACAGAGACAGAGAGTGACAGCCGCAGTGGCTGCCGGGACAGCTGCTCTGGGCTGGGCAGCTGTCGTCTTTGTGGTTGATTTTGCGGCTGCAACTGGATTAAACAAGTTGCTTACCTCATAGGTCCAGGCGGTGCAGGAAATACCCAACACAACCTGACCGGGCCAGGAAACCACCCAGGAAATGCGATCCACCAGAGCATAGTCCTCCCAGGCGTCTTTCATTTGCTCCATAACGCTGTCCAGCATTACATACTCGACCTCCTTTAGCCAGATTTCAACCAAACCCTGTGAAAAGACGACTTTAGCAATGGATTTGTGTCGAGACAGGTACACATACATTGGCCGCTTGCGGATTGATTCTGCGCACCAGCGAAACGCGCTCATCCTCATCGCTGATCATATGCGTGATCTCCATGTTGTCATCAAAAGTCAGTGTGCCAATCTGGAAGGATTAAGGTATAATCATCATGAGTAATCGGACCAACAAGTGGCAGCTCGCCGGTTCAAATTTATGTTCAAGCTTACTCCCTCGAAGCACTTGCGCAAGTGCGGCTGCACACGCATGGGATCCTTGGTCTCGGAGAGTATCTCCAGCAGTTCATCATTCGACAGAAAGAAGAAACGCGCGAAGAACAGACGCTTCTGTTCCAGATATGTGTTCAGGCCCTTCTGCACCGTTTCCAAATCCTCTATCGCCTTGGTGAATATCTCCAGCATGTTTGGATATTCGGTGGCGGCCATAACGTGGCGATCTTTGAGCGTGTACTTCATAATGCGCCGCCAGATCTTGTCCACCGCCTTGAAGTTGCGCCCCTCTAGCGGCATTTGGCGCATAATGTCCTCCGAGCTAAATATGGGCTCCAGATACATCCAGGTGACCTGCACATTCGTCCAGGCGTCAATGATGTTCTGTATGAGCAGCAGTCGCTCCTCCCAGTCGTCCGCCTTGGATCCAAGCGCCACAATAAATGGCGATCGCTTCATCGCCTGGGTGCGCATGATGTGGTCATCGAGCAGAGTTTGGATATCGTCTATGGACGCCAGGAGATGCGTGTCTGAATCGCGATACTGGAGCACCTCAAACATGACATCCTTCCAATCGTTCTGCATGTTCCTTAGGCCCATATTCAGGTCGTATTCCTTGCCAGCTGCATTCGCAATCTCCTCCAGCTCCGGCAATATGCTCATTATATCGGCATCAATCATGTCCTTGAGCGTCGGATACAGACGCGGATTGATCTGGCGACCCAAAATTGCCGATATCTTATCCCAGTGCCGCTTTTCCAGCCCGTGCCGGCATATAGAGTCAAGGACTGGCAAATAGACGCGGAACTTTTCAATTTTGATGCGCATCTGCTCTGCGGCACGTTTCGCAACCGGATTGTACGAGAGCTGCCGCGCCAGCTTGTGCATAATCTGATGAGGATAATGATGGCCATGATGATGATTAGTGTAGAGCGGGCAGAAACGCACAGAGTCAAGTGTCAAGCGTGTGTGTGTGAGTGTGTGGGTGTGGGTGAGTGTGAGTGTGTGGGTGTAGCGTTGATTCTTTAAAGTCAGCTTGAAATCCGACTCCCTGTGTCTGTTAAGCCGACTAAATGGGAACCGAAAGCCCCTCGCTCTTGCTTCCTATACGCTGTCCATCAAGTGCAAACGAGTATATTGGCTTTTGCTAAATAGCAAAAATCTATATGATTCACAGTTACCGAATTTGACAAGTATATTAAGAATAGTTTCTGCTTACGAAAGTGCCTAAAATAAATAAATTCTAGGGTATATCGGAAATGATTTTTGTAAGGATCTAGATAGACCTAAATAGATATCTCGGCTCGGCCTTCGACTCATCAAGCTTAGCTATCCGATTGTCTTGTTGCTGTTCTCACTCGTTGCAGAGAGTATTATGCAGTCGGTTGCACCCGACTGAAATGTGTTTAGCTGTTTGCTGCGTGTCTCCACTTTGCTGCTTCAGCTGGGCCAAAAAATTCAATTCAGCTGCCGTTGCCTTTGCGCTTTGAGCCACTTTTTTCCCCCAATGCTAACCGCCTAATACACCCACACACACAGGCACAGCCGCTCGCTTAGCTGGCCAAGTTGCCGCCAAATATGTTGGCATTTTTTCGTTGCATACTTTTCGGCATCTTTTTTTTGTGCCAGGCTAGCCGCCGCCGGAGGCTTGAGGTTTTTAGTTGCATTTTAGCTGCTACATTGGCTTACGAATGGACCCGGGCACAAGCGGAACAGACAGGCATAGAGACATGCATGGCCAGCGCTGCAAATGCGACAGAAGCAACAGAAATGCGACAAGAGCTCAAACTTTGCCCCTGCTGTTGCTGTTGCTGCTGTTGGACTCGTTGCACGCTGCTCGTTTTTATTTCCGCCTGGCACTGCAATGACAACTTCAACTTCCGATTCCGACTTCCAACTACTTACCTTGAACATGGTCTCGATCTGCTCCCGCACGCCATCCGCATTAAGGCATTCGAAGCGCTCGAACATCCTGGCAAAAGATGTAAATAGAAATATACAAAACTGCAGTAGAAAAGTGCTACTCCTGTTGCTGTGAGGAGTGGGAACTAAAAGAAAAAACAAGTAGGAGACCTCTAGTCGGATGTATGAGACTAGAAAATCACCCTGCACTCTTTTCCATTTTATGAAATGCATTCTTGAATAACTAATGTGCTTATAGTCTGATTTTTTGAGCCATAAATATGGCATTCGACTCGACTGTGTGTAAATATCAAAGCACAACGTAACTATACAAGTTATGATATCATATCATATGATTTTAACATAGAGGGTGGACGGGAAATCAGGTATTTAAATGATTTGATAGTTCGCCGGGGTGTAGTCTTTGGAGGCGCCTTTCTCTGAAGGGGTCAGCCAGGGCCCAGGATCCCTTTTAAGCTCCGGAATGTTTTCAAAAAACAAGATTTTAAAATCGGTGTTTACCGATTTCATTCAAACGAACTTATCGATAATTCAAAATCGATCTGCGCAGGATACATAAAGTATAGTTTGACTTAGATTCAAACCTTCTTATTTCCGAGATCGTCATACTCCTGACAGAAACAAACTACCCTTCCTTTCACACATTTCTCAATTGGCACAGGGTACAAAAAAGGCTACCAGCTACAAGTTTTGTGCAACAAAAACAAAAACAACAACTACTAAAATCTGGCTATTTTCCGCTGCACTTCAAGTCAACTTTCTGCTGGCATTTGCATTGCGGATTTGAGTCAGGCAATGCTCGGCCTGACTGCCAGCATGACTGCCTGGCTGTTTGGCTGTCTGCCTGGCTGCCACTTCAATTTCAAATATTTTGTCATTTGCGACAAGTGCCCAAAGGAGCTAAGAGGTACTCAGACTGAGACCATGTCGTTGTCGTTGCCGTTGTCTAAAATAATTGCAATCGTTTTGAACGTTGCCATTGCTTACCAAATGAGATAATCCTTTTCGAATTCGTACGATGTCTTCCATAGTTTTTCAATGGGTTCCATTTTCTCAATGATTTCGCCCAGCAGCGGAAAGGCGGAGATATCAATTTGCAGCAGGGCCTCCTCCACGTTAATAGCCTTCGCCTCACGGCTAAGATTCTGCCAGCACAATCAAAGATTATTTCCACAAATAAACCGCACTTCCACTCCACCCGCACTCACCTCTATGGTATTAAAGAGCAGGTCCACGGTATCCACACGCTCCTTGAGCTCATCCAAAGTGAGTACATCGCGTATTTCCCTGATGCGGAAGCCGTCCATGGTACGCTTCTCCTGGATGAGCAGTTTCTCAAACTGTAGGCGGCGTTCTCTATGGTATTAAAAAGCCATGTATATATATTCCTAGTATGATATTTTACCCGGCCTTGCCCGGGTGATTTGATCATAAGTCAATCAGTCAATTTGTCAGCCATTCAGTCAGTAAGACGGAATATTTTTGTACATATATGTAGATATAATCTGAAGTACGTAAACTCACCTCAAAGCCATCTCTAGGTTATCCCGCACCACAGCCAGGCGCGCGGCACTCAGATCTAGCACCTCTTCCAGTTCGCCGGGCAGTATAAATGTGCGGGAATTCAGATGAATTTCATCGCCTGTTGGGACAAGTGGTATCAATTGTTATCTCTCTTTCACTCTCTCTCCTTCCCTCTTTCTTGCTCTCTTTCTCATTCTGTTCTGCATGCTCTTAATTAACTGTGCTTAACTCTTAATTAATTGGCTACGCGCGTTTTTCGGGCTAACTAATTAATTATGTGTACTACACGAGCATCTTTGATGCCCACCTGCCGCCTACCACTCTCCCACCCACCCTCTCCGACAAGTTTGCCTGTGAAGAGTCCACAGACAGATGGACAGAGCGACAGTTGTCGGAGACAACTTGCACACATTGTAGCTCTTTGAAAGATACACACGGCACTTGACGATAAATCGCAATTGTCTGGCTAGGCAGCTTCTCCATGTTTTGAGTATATGTGTGAGCGTGTGTGTGTGTGTGTGTGTGTGCGGCTTTGTCTGCATTTGTCGGTTGTCAAAGCAACTTTCACACATTCATGAATTTGTTGAGCTCATTAAGCTGCATTTTCGGGGCTTAGCGCAGCTCAATGTTTGGTGTCTCACCGCAAGTAATTATAAAACCAATTAGTAGACTCAGCTTGTTAGTTGAGGTTAATTATGTTAAGCGCAGCCCAAGCCCATCCTTCTCCTCTTTCTCTCCCTCTTGCAACACAGACAGGAACTGTCTAAAACAAACCAACGCCAGCTGCACAAACATTTGAAACTTTCATACCCTAGCCTCAAAACTGAACCCAGCCCCGCCTCATATGGTCATCATCACTTACTGGTCAGGTATGCATGTGTCAGCAGGAATACGACACGTTTCAGCACAAGCTTGATTTCATCTTTTATGGCAAATATGCGCATCTCACGGCATTCAGTTATATAGTTCTGCAGGGCAACCACCTCCGGTGTCTCCTCTGGCCGTTCGCCAGCCTTCATGGACATCTCCTCCAGTTCCTCGCAGATGCTGCAAAAAAAAAAAAAAAACCCAAGTGGCGAGCGCATATTAAAAGTAATCTATTAAGTAAAAGCCTTGCCCCAATTCCAGTCAGCAGAAAAACTTTGAATGAAAGGCATTTGCAGTTCATTTTGGCTTCGGAGAAAAAGACCAAGAGTCAAAGCTCAAATCAAGTGCAACAATGTCAAAATCTCTCAAAGGTTGATAATTCTTAAGCGGAAAACTAAATCTTTCTTTTTGAAAACTTAAAATCCTGCTTGTCTCTCAAGCTTTACGACGTATATCTTATTCTGTTATATAGGAATTTTCACAATTACAATCTCGATAATTTTGTTCTCCACTTGATAATGCTTTATGTTTTCTTCACAAATGCAAATTCTTTTTGCCGAGAAAACATAATTCTAAGAGATGAAATTCTGCTGTAAGCAATATAATATGGAAATAACTGAGAGTTTATATGAATTAATTATTTTCAGAAAGGCTTTTTATCTAGAACTTCAATTGAGAACATTTTGCGCTTTAGCAAGAATGCACAAATACTTTTTCTGCGAATGAATGAAAACAAAAAAAAAAAATGAAAGCCATATGATTTTCAGAATTTTGAGTGGAATTCTTTTCTCCGAATGCTATAGCCAGGAGTTATACTTACGCGCGATTCTCGTTCATGTTGAGCGCTCGATAAAAATCAATTATAAAGTCGTAGATATTTTTCACATACATGCGCAGCGATTCTTTAACGTGACGATTATCCAACAGAAACAAATTTAACGGTATGAAATCACGCAGATAATAGGTCGAATCGCTGATGGCGTTCAATTTTTTCATTAATTCCTGAACAACCTGTTGGCGAATCCCAAGTGCGATGCGATGCGATGCATCGTTGCAAATGAATATGCATTTAATAAAAAGTAAAATGCGTATATAAATTAATGTATATATGCATGTGTACGGTGTGTGTGTATGTGTGTGTGTGTGTGTATATATACTAGCTACAATAAGTAACAAGAGCGAAGTTGTATTAGGGACCTGCCGAATATCATATACCCTTTCAATATATAAGTAGTTGCTTTTCGATGTGTGTCCATATGAGGACACATAATTATATTGATGGGATTGTCGAAATGTACAGAATATTTTATATGTAATATACCTTATATCTCCTTTAAATATTAAATAATAATATCCTCTACAAGAGTATAAAAAATATTATAATTCGTAATACTTTTGATATCCTCTTTAATTTCTCTCTATAATCATATCTCTTTTCCTAATTCCAGGTTATACACACACGACATCCTCAATTGTAAGTGCATCAGAAATCTATTATATATTTAAAAATTTGTTACTTTATAAGCTTCCATCAAACGATATGCCCATTTTCGAGTTCCATAGTTTGCCGCAACTTTATTATACACCTTTTTTTTAACACATTTTGTGAGTGCAGAGCATAAAAAACAGACACAAGCTTGCATTACATGCATGAAAAAACTGCAGCAACGTTCGCAATCGGAAGCAATTTTTATTTTAAATAAATTGCGCAAAAAACGAATATGTGGGATAAAAATTGTCGCACGCTGCATTCGGCTTAATGAATGTGAACTGCAAACGGCCGGCAAGAATGGGTTAATTGTGAGCTCTATGTATGTTATATATATATGCTGTAAATGCAGCTGTCTAACCAAATATTTTATGCACAGCCAATGACATGGCAAGTTTTGTGCAGTCGAGAGAATCTTTGAATTAGCAATCGAACAAAGTTTAATTAACAATGCCAAACGCATTGAACCCCCTTTCCAACAGCTGCCATCAACAATGCAAAGGTCGGAGCCTACGAACCCAAAAGAGAGAAACAGTTGACATTAAACTAGCCAAAAGTTCACGACTAGCAGAGTTCACTGTATCAATAACATATGAGTTTTTTCTTGGATAATTATAATCATAATCATAATCAGCAGGGGGACTTAAAGAGGATATCAAAATGTGTCTATACCAAAAAGCAGGGCTGAACCTTTTTGTGTTGTTTGATGAGTTTTGGGAAGAGGTATTCAAAATGAAATAAACCTTGACATTCATCTGCCATTTGGTACTTCTAGCTATAGGAGAACTTACTAATGCTTGAAATTTGAAATATTTAGTCCCAGTTCCATTTTTCTTCAATTTTGGGGGAGGTATCCAAGAATTGAAAGTCCCATAAGCTGCATATAATTAACGAGAACCAACATACCAAGGTTACAGTATCCTGCTCTTATATTGCTCGAGTAAAAGAAGCATGCAATATACCCTTTCTTTTGATAGCATACAGTGTATAACAGCCTAGACACAGATGCAAATACACACAGATAGCTGCACTCGTGCAACTTGTTCAATTACACAAATTGCCAGTCGCTCCGACAGTCAGTCAGTCAGTCGAGCTGTCTGTCAGCAGTTTATTAATATTGCATAATGAAATTTTATGTTAATTCTACGCATCATTGCGTATAATCAAATCGAAATAAATAATTAAATTCATTTGAAGGCGAGACGCAGCCAAGCGCCCAAAGGCATTGTCAGGGATGCAAAACTGGCTTTGAAAGGAGTATATATATATACTATATTTATATATATATATACACACGCACACTTAAATAGCCACTCAAATTTCATACGCACCACTAACTCCGGCAACGTATTATCCGTCCATATCTTCTCAACCATGGGCATTATCAACTTCTTAAACAAGCCGTAGTAATACTTATAGATGGGCTTCAAGTAAACGCTTACACCACGCCAATTGATCTTGACTATTTCCTCGACTTTGGTGCACAGCGAGAGAAAGTCCACATGATCCTCATCGATAAAGTTCAGCGTGCCATAGGTATCAGGCACTGTGAATAAATATATCCGAAAGTATTTAACACATTTAGCCAAAAGGCCAGGCAGTTCACTTACCCTGTCCAGACATGATATATTCAAGGCGCGGTATATCGTAACCCACAGTCAAAATACTCTTAAAGAGATCCCTTATTATCGCCGGCAACTCCATCATATAGGGATATATATAGAGCTTGCTGGCGTGATCCATTTCAAACACGGCCACTTCGTCCATATCAGGTCCCTAATTAATCAAAATAAGATCTATAAAAAATTCCCCGATATATATCCCATTGGAAAAACCTTACAAGCTCTACAAACTGTGGCTGTCCCGGTGCCTGAAACGGATCCGCATCGTCGGCATCGAACTGATATATATTCTCATCATCCCGCACGCCGGGTCCAAAGTCAATTGGCTCGTTGTCGAAATGGGCACCCACCACGGACACGGTGAGCGTCATCAGCGGCCGGCGACGCAGCTTATTATCGAACATGGAATACTCTTCGATTTGATTTCCATTCTTGTAGCCGCACAGCACCTTGAACAGATACGCCAGACTTTTATTGATCAGACTCTCCAAATGGCGCGACATCAGGGCGTGCACGCACTTGAAGAGCGTGTCCGCGCGGCCAGCATACTTGCCCGTCATGGGCACCAAATCCTTCCAGCTGTTGCGCATCAGATCCATCAGGTCTGCACAGCGTGGCAGCCAATCGTTCACCAAAAGCTGCCATGCAAATTCGAAATTTTAAAAGGATTGAACCAAAAGCTAGAATTAACTTACGTCTTTGACTTGGGCACAGCTGTCCCTAACAAAATTCTGCACGAGGTCCGCATCCAGGGGTCGTTGCGTGAGCAACAGCTTGGACAGATCAACAATAACAAGATCCCCGTAGAGCTGATGCCAGAGTAAATTGAGGGCCTGCACGGCGGGATGCGTGATCATGAGCATTTCGCCAATGCGGCTTTTGGCAAGCAGCAGACGTGAACGCCACGGCACGGGCGAGGTTATGGTCATTATAGGAAATTCCGGCGGCTCCGGCTCCAGCTGCAAACGCTTGCGTTCCATGTTGGATCTGTAATCAAACGGGGACATCACTCAAAATACGGGCTCTAATAAACGTGTCTCTCACTGCAACAGATAGCGGAGAAAGGAGCGCTTGACATGGTAGCGAAAATCCTCCTGCAGATCGATGAGGCAAACGAGTATGAGTATGGCAAAGTCTAGGCGTATCCCTCGTTCGCCCACAAACAGATAATCCAATAATATAACCTCGGGCGGCAGTTTGGGCCAATATTTCTGTAACGAGTTGATTAGGCAGTGAATCATGATGGCACTAGGTAGCATAAATTTTGTCATAAGCCCCAGGCATCAGCTGCGGCAAGCAAGGCTCAAATCTGTGTGTAGAGCAGCAGCTGTATTTAATACGCTTGCATAGGGATTGATAATTATGGCATTAAATATGTCAAATAGTGAAGCTGTTCAAAAACTGTATGAAAATTCTTAAGAACGCAGCTTAATACGTGGCCTTCGTTATCTGAGCGGCAGACCAACAACTGGAAAGTCGCCGGTTCAAACCTTGTTGCAACAAGTATTTATTTGTGCCCCTTCCGAATTACGGAATTACGAGCTGATAACATCTCAGAGTTCCTGTCGGAATAATTGGCCTTAAATAAGATTTGTTTTATG